CATATTGAAGTGAAATTATATGCAAAGTCTTGATTAACGAAACCAACTTATTTTTCCTCTTCTTTGAAGCGAGGCGTTGTCTACTGCTCTTTCGTTGCCACGACCAATTCATTGAGATTTCCTCTTTTAATTTTATTTGCTATTACCTGTTAGGCAATCGAAGATGGAGGAAAATCGAACTGAAAAAATGGGAAGAATTTACTCGTCCAGGATTATTAAAACTCATTGGTGAGCCAAAGCCGATCCTTTCGCTCGAGATCGAAGCCATAACGACACTTTGAAACTAATCGAGTTTTCGGAACGAGCGTTTTGCGCGCCAACAGCAGCATCCGCGCTAAGTGCGATCGTTTCATTAGCATAGAAAAAATTTTTCACTGATTTTAATCTGTATAAGTTGAAGATACAACGTGGTATGGCCTCGTAATCGTAAACTAGGTAATGTTATTGCTCGGGATTTATACCACTGGGTAATTCTCTCCTTTCGCTTCTTTTTCTCTTTCTCTCCCCTGAAATGGTGTGAAAATGGCCTTTGTTATATCCTATACATATTCATGTTCTTTCAAATTCATCAGGCTCATTGTAGCATGTGCAGTATAGCCAAGCAGCTTAAACGCATATGTGTATTCTTGCCGAGTCAATGAACCACCGACGACGAAAAAAAAGCCAAACATAATGTGGAAATTCATGACCGCGCTGTGCATGTGTGACGTTATCGATACAATGTAAAAAGACGAGCCGAGCGCACATTTAAGAGGAAGAAATATAAATCAGCCGTGGGCGAGGGACTGCGTGCGAGAGCACACACGTGTATGCGCGCGGACGTTTGTATTTGCATTCGCACTCCAAAGTGGCAAAAAGTTTTCAACTTACAGCTTATGCAGTATCTTTTTGTTTGAATGGTTTTTGCCGAGCTGTCTTTTCTTTTTCTTCTATAATTTAGTCGCTAGGCTGTCGCGTGTGATTTGTCGTTTGTAACTTAATTGTAAATCATGTGTCAATGAGAGATTCATCGATGGTACACCCGTTTTATTGGTGGGTATGGAAGCTTATCAAGATCTGTAAAAAACAAAAATTATGACTTGGATAACTGCAATCTATCCTTTCGTAAGAGAATTATATAATCTACTGTTGATCACCGTTAAAAAACGAAATATTTTATAATTGAAAATACAAGAAATGTCGATTTGTGAAAAACTCGGGATAGGTAAGAATTATTCAACACCAACTAATCGCCTACTATCTTCAAGCTTCGAATTCGAGTCTGTAACCGGAAATACATAATAGTCGATAATAGACAAGTCGATAAGCAAAGATACATGCAGTCCATTAGTTGTGCGAAATGGAGCATCGAACGGAGTAAATAAGCATCGAACGCGGCTGTTGGTTGGCTCCGATGTGGCTGTTGCGTGTGTGCCGTAGCTCACAAACACCCTTGACTCGCTGGCTTATAGCAGAGCAGTATTGTACTCGTTATTGCCGAGTCCTACAGCATACGCTACACTCGCACAAAGGATTCTGCTACTTTACGGTGTTCTCCTTAGCTCCATAGGTATGCCTCTTTGCACATGCTCGAGATTGGCTGCTATGCGAGCCGGCGATCCGCTCACAATAGTCCGCTATTCTTATTATTTTTCTCGAGCCCGTACATGAGCTCGCACGTGCATATAAAGCTCGCCCTGGTAATTATCCCGCTGCTGCTGCGCAGCTACTGGTTTTTCATGCGGTATAAATCGGCTCGTCGTAAAAAATTCCTTGGTCCTTTTTTGCGGATGCGGACGCGATATCGGCCGATTCGATCCACTAGAGCACAGGCAGAGAAAGAAAGAGAGAAAGAGAGAGAGAGAGAGAGACAGAAAACGCGTGTATATGTGCATAAGCATGCAGTACAGCAGCCAAGGTCAAGGTAGACACGAAAGCTTCGCTCTTCTTTTTCTTTCATTTCTTCATTTTTCTATTTTTCTCTCTTTGGAGTGACTCTTTAGGTACACTCCGCGCGTAGGCGATTGTGTAGTGCATCTTCTCTTTGACCACGTACGGCTTTTACTCTCTTTCGGCGTTACTAATCTGAAATGATTGTTATGGCGCCGCTCCATAGCAATAGTCCGCTTTGCATGACGCGTTCGCAATTTATGCATTTCTTGCTCTTGAGCTTTATTTTTTACTGAAATGATATATTCTATGCACAAATAATAAATTATTTTTTGCGCTCGAGGATGTAGATGTAGTAGCAGATTGGAAAATGCCCCACGCAACATTATGATAAAGCAGTATTAATTTTAGTATGCTGTTTTCAATCAAATTGACAAAAATGTGCGATAATGTAAGTCGAGTCTTAAATTAATTTCACAGGGTGAGTTTTATTGTTTCTCCTTGAAAATGAGTATTGGATTTTTCTCGAATTATTTCGATGTTTCAATCGACGTCAAGCCCTCAGTCAATTGATCGGTCGATATAAATTTCAAAAAATACTACTTCAAATTCATATTTATTCTTGCTCGCAGTACACATCTAATCGAGTTAATTTTACCGACCTTAGCGATAAAGATAATAAGCTCCCGTACGAGAATATATACTGCATCGATGCGCCGTTCGGTTCGCTACTACAGCTCGGCCAAACGAGTTCCCGATACAGAGGCGTCGTACGCTCCGAAGCTTTCTTCCCAACGGAAACGTTGGAAATTGTATATATATTACATTATTAGGCCCGATTGGAATGGGAGGCTCGGCGCGTCGCAGCCAGGCTTTTCTGTTATTACAATATTCGTGCATGTGAAATGAAGCGCGTTCGCAGTCCGTTTTATAGGCTGCCGAGCGAGCGAGCGAGAAAGAGGAGGAAGATGGTCGCTTTTGTACGTATGCGATAATTATAATTAACAGAGACTGCGAGAAAGATGATATATACATAGATATAGAATTTCCCGCTAACGAGTAGCTGCGTACGTGGCCGCGCGCGTCAAATGTAATCCTGAATTACTGAAGAATTTGCATTTAAGGCTCGATAAAGTCGCGGGCATTTATTTTTCACGGCTCGATGTTTTCATATCTAAATTTTCCTCTTTCTGCGTAAGCTCGTATACGTGCACGCATACATACATACATACATATATAGTATATATCATAATCTCGGCGTTGGTAATAAACGGCCCCGCGCGAGGGTATATTACTTTTTATTTCTAATAAATCTCCCGACTGCGCGAAGAGATAGGCGCGTGCGTAGCTTTATATACGTAACGAAGACGCGCGCGAGCCTACCTATATAGTTGCTTTGATTTACGCGCGAGTGACTATCGCGTCCTAATGTCTTTATTTTGTAAAACATCTGTGACGGATATACATTTACATTTAAATCGATACAATTAAAGATCTCTTCCTTCTTCTCGTTATATATCTATACGTACGTATGTATGTAGGTATGTGTATCGCGAATGCCTTGTATACATTCACATGCATTCAGGAGCACTCGCGTATACGCGATCGCGAGCGTATTCTCGTTGAATCGGAAATTTCAATCGTTTTTTCGTGTTGCTCCTGTGCTCTGCTCTCGGCTGCGTCCCTCTTAACACTGTTTGCGCGCAGTCGAGGAAAACAAAACACCACCCTGTATAGTACCACTGGCAGAATAATTGCGTGCGCGTCCCATAAATCGCTGGCTATGTGTGTGCGAGCCTGTGTATGCGCTCGAGCGCAGCGGACGAGACTTAAAATCGCCGAAAGAAAAGGAAGAGAAAAAAATGTCGAGCGCAAACTGCGTAAACTGGCGACAAGTGACCTTAACAAAAATTCTATCGGGAGGAAGGTACATCTCATTAAAGAGGCTGCGAGTAAACGCGCGGCGCTTTATACTTGACGAAAAGAAGCAGAGTAAGCTCGAGCCGCTCTTGGATCGGAGGGGTTGATGCTGTATAAAATGTTCAAAGTGCCCGTATACCCGAGCGCACGTGAATATGGCGAGCCGACAGCTTCTCCGGACGGCTTGCCGTTTCTGTCTTTCTTTTCCGTTGTTTCTTTTACTACATAATAGCTTTGACCGGCTCATTTTATACAGGGGGTGTGCAATTAATTTCCATCATTGGATCTTTTACGATTATTATACTCACTTTTAATAGTGTTTAAATAGTTATTTTTAACGCATTGGCATGCAATCATTTATTGTATTGGCATTTTTTTAAAAATTTCGAAACTCGAGTTTTTTTTTCGATCAATATTCTTTTTTACTTTTATATACGATAGAATTTTGTTGAACTTATTAAAAATACGAAAAATTGGTATGTGTAACATACGTCAAATTTTCATAAAATTCAAAAAAATGGTATGCGCTTCTTTTGTTTTATTGCAATTACTACTTTAGATGCGCGCTTTGTATAAGATGAACTCAATAGAATGATTTTTTAAAATCTATACGACCATCAAATGAAAAATTTATGTTTGATCTAAGGTTGACTAAAAAAACATCAGTTTCCAGTGGGTCTGTTTTAGTCCTTTACGAGAGTTGTTTTATGACGCACTAAATATCTTATTTGGGACTTTTTAAAAATAAAATTTAACAGTCCTTTATCAAAAGAGACATTTACATGAAATACTGTGAATTTTTTTTCAGCAGTCGACTGTACATATCATACCCACTCGAATCAGAAATTTTTTTATCGTGAATTAACGGCAGGTAGATCTTTGTTGCGCCGGATGCACTCCTCTCTCTATCTCTCTTTCCCTTTCTCTTTCTTCTTGCGGGTAGAGTCTTGGGGAATTCCAACAGGTTCATTGCTGATGAAGGACCAGCAGACCAAAATATAAATCTCATGAATTTCGGCATTACAGATCGCATTTTATCATTATTTTCTTCGATTCTAAATCGTTTGATATATCTACATATTCCTCAAGCTCGACGTAACCAAGAGCTTGTGAAACCATCTAATTATTTAAAAAAATGTAAATAACTTTACTCGAACATGCAAGGAATTAATTCGATTCTTTAATCAATTTTTTTTCTACAAAAACTTTACTGCGTCTGTTTACAGTTATTACTAATTTGCCGCTGTGAAAGTAAGATTTTCCTCTTTTTACTTTAATAGTGTCACCAATTTTGACAGGAATTTTGATATGCTTATTCCATAAATCTAGTCTTATCTGCAACATAAAACAAAATTAAAATATATTATCATCTCTAAGAAAATATAAAAAAAAACAAAACAATAATTTGAAAAATTTCCAAAAGTAATGTATACAGTGAAATCTCTCTATAGTGGACATCCAAAACCGTGTAGTGGAAACCTGGAAAACTGTCCGCTATTAGGAAGTGTCCGCTATTCGGAAGAATACGAAGTGGGGAAATATGAAAAACTAGCGGTACCCGTCGTGGCTTCGCTCACGTTAAATTTCAAAGAGTAGGAGAATATTTATAAAAACAAAATAATATTTTAGCCTTTTTATGCAAAAAGACATTCAGGAATATATTTAAAAAAGTGCTTGAGGGTAGGACAATTAAGAATGACAGAAGATTTGAAGTAAGCAACGTTCATCGCACGACAACAACTTTCTTTGCGTATGAAAGGGAAATTTAAACAAAGCCTTTTAACGATTAAACTGAAGAATCCTGGATTAACTTTTTTAAAAATTGTTGAATATCACCAATGAGCGATGAGCGATGAGCATTGAGTGTGAGGGTGCGATGAGAGTGGGGGAGCGGGTGAGTGTGTGCGAAGTGATAAAAAACGAAAAAAATTCAAAAGTCAAAAACAAAAAAAGAAAAATGTATTCTAAGATCGTAGAAACCTTCACAGTGGTATAGTAAATGTATGGTAAAAATTTTAAAACGATAGTACGGGTAGTTTTTAAGAACATAAAATACAAACAGACGTCGTTTCTGCTTTATATATATAGAAGAAGGACATTTTTAACTATATCTTTTTTTTCATCCCCTACGGAAAAAAAATTGTTCAAGAAAGAGTAAAGGTAGATATTAAAACTATCAAATTAAATTGTAAAATGTAATAAAATGTAAAGTCACTAACGATTTCGGACAACCAATGCATTGAAAATGCAGCAATACGCAATTTTCTCCTGTCCTGAATGTTGAATAGTACAGAATAGAATCTTGTTTATGTGCGTTATCACGATCGTTGCACCCGCGTCCGGTGCTTACTCGGTACACCAGAATGAGAAACGAACTCAGTAATGATTTTTTCAAGAAAGTCAACTCACTGCTAATGCTATTATCGACCAAAAATGTCTGGACTTACTCGAATAAATCGTATAGCCAAGTAGTGATTTCAATCTGATATACCGAATGGACTATCCTATAGTGCACTAATTCTACATATACACCTTGACCTCCCTTGAGAAATAGTGACCTTGTTCAGACTTTAACCGAGTGCACATAGTATGCAACAGGAGCTGACCAGAATTTGATATGCGCTTTATTTAGATGGAGGCGAAAAATTATGGGATGAGTGATTCATATACCAATTGTGTAATTATTTATAGCGCTAAGGATTGTTAGTTTACATTTATGGCTCGCTTTTCTGTGGCAAAATTCACATTTTCTGATATCGCGTGGTTCTCATTGCCCTCCTACATTCATGTAATAACCTTACTCTGCGTTACCAGAAGGTGCGACTTAGGGTTATTTAAATGTTGAGCACAGAGCTATAAAATTGAGCCTTATGCCAAGAGTATCGTAAATGATTTATTCTATTTTTCAAAATTTACCATTGCATTATTGGAAGCTGGCTGTTCTTCAATGTCAACTGATTTGACACGATTTTTCCACCATTTTCCTTCTTTGCCTATAGATCTTATTATTCCAGTAACATCTGTTTCATAAACAAAGACTTTCATGTACATTTTATAATAAATATTTTCAATTGTAATAATACTATTAAACTCACCGCAAAATTTTTCCTTGCCAACTAAATAAAGTTTGAATCCCTCAAAATTATTACTCATAATTTATAAAATTTAATGTATAAAATTAAAAATTCTTATTTGTAAAAACTAAAAAAAATCTAATTTGTATACTGGAAAAAAGTAAGGCTATAAAAATAAGTAATAAAAAAGGTTATTGATACCACATAGAGTGTTATTTTGATAGTTTCACACTCTTGTAAATTACAGTCACACAAAATCAATCGTGTATATCGTGCATGCATTGCAATTCATTACTAATAGCAATCACTTCTAGATCGTGGTAACAAAGTTTAAATGTTATTTAAATTTTCGGAGAAAACTTGACGAAACTCATTTCAATTTGGTTTGGTGGTTTGGCATCGTCATTTTGGCTTATCATTTGATCCCTTCTCGTTGCGCAGTGCATTGGTATATTTTTGTTTGTCAAAAGTCAAGAAGAAGAGAGAGAGAGAGAGAGAGAGAGAGAGAGAGAGAGAGAGAGAGAGAGAGAAAGAGGAAGGGGAAGACAAGAATATTTACGTACACCCGTGAGAGAAAAGACGATTTTAATTGATGGCAATCCAGCATTGCTGTTGTCGTTGAATCGCATCGTCCGATCTCATTTTTCTCAAGCGGTAATAAGGATCGGTATTATAATGCGTGCATGACTTAACGTTAAATATTATAAACAGGTGCTTATCACACCTTCGGGCTTTTTTGTTCGCGTTTAGTTGTGCATCGATGGACGTTATTATAAATGCAATTTTTTCGATCCATCAATGAATAAGCAAAATAAATACACTGCTTCCGCTATTATAATTTTTAATTTTATTACACGTATCCTCAGTGGTTAGTTGCGAATTCAACAACAATATAGATACTGCTGACGCAGATACACTTACAAGATCGTTAAACCTTAACGGTAATAAAATATTTTATGGAACCCTTTATTTATTCAAAAGGTTTTCCACTCTTGCGCTGTATAATTTGAAGCTCGCTTTTGCGTTTTTACAAGAACATAAGATAATTTAGAATCGCAATTACACGCGACGACTTGCCTCTGATCGAATATCTCGCGGACGTTGACTTTTCTTTCGCGAGCTCCATTATACGCTCGCGTATACATGTACCGTGTTGTGGGCCACGCAAAGTTGCACGTGGGACCTTAAGAGATTTAAGACTGCGGTTTAAATGTCATGCAACTGTGTGTTATGCTGCGCAGTTGCAGTATGCGGCCGGCGACGGAAATACACGCACTTCGTGCGCGCAGACACATGCACTTCTTGATTAAGCTTATGACTTTTAACGGCGTGCTAATGATATTTTATAGATATTTCACTACTCTGTGTATTCGTACGAGCGAATTTGTGTTGCAGCAAATTGACGACTAAGCCAAGGAAAAAAAAAGAAAAAAGATCATTTCATTTGTTGCTGCAGTTCTAAGGAAAAATGAAAGCCACATAATTGTATAAATCATCGACTTGCTACGGGAGATAATACGATAAAGATTAGGCCGACACTATGGTTCGAGCTCATTTATCGCTTGCCTGGGTGCATAAAGACACGAAGAATCCTCTTGCACGTATTCTATGGGCCGAAGAATGTTGCTCCGAGAATGTGCCTTGCGGCTTTCGAAACCACGAAAAATGAACTCTCTTGCGCGCAGCAAAAAATGAGACGGTGAAAAAAGAGATATCAAGGCTTATTTTTGAGGTTCTTTTGACCAGGGCATCAACCTTTGCCGAAAAATCTTGAGATTTTTATCCGATGAATTCGTACGTATAGATATAGATGAGGCAGGGCAATATGTTTTGTTCTAAACTTTATGACTTATCTATTTTACGAATTATCATCTGATTTTTTCATCTTTGATAAAACAATTAATCATATTCATGATTCATTTGTTAAGACAGCTTTGAACTCCGCCGGTAAAAACTTTTAAACTGTTGCGAGTGAATTAATTTGGCTCCTGTAGCCGAAAAAAAAAATTAAAATATAATTGATGAAGTGCCTCAATTATTTATTACCTGTTCACCGGGGGCATTGCATGAATTACGCATACAATGCATTATACGAAGGCCAAAGCGTGCCGTGCGTGAATAAATGAAATAATTTCTCTCCCCGACATTGAGCTCGCGTGCAAAGCAAAGCCCCCTGAGTGTCACGGACCCTTTACGTAAAACCAAAGTCAAGGTCACTGCGCGAGCGAAAAGAAAAGTTCAGCAGTGGCTTGCAAATGCATACGTGGACTTTATGTCCTGTACAGTTACAGTTATCATTGTAAATGTTTGTGACGTGCGCGCCCAGCCTAATTACCCAGATATGATCATTTTTTGCCAACGTAATTCTTCGATTACGGGACTGCTTATTTTTTTATTTTTCATTGTATCCGACCAAACTACATTGGAAAATTGGGTCGATGCAATAAAGAGCATGAATTGATACGATAAAGTAATACAAAAAAACATGTTTTTTGAAGAACGGTACTCGTTACTAAATTATTACGCACATTTGCCAATAGTGTTTGCGTGTTCTGAGAGTGTAAAAGTTTTTTTGGCTTCGGCGCCACATCCATGAACTGATACAAAGGGAGAATTCCTTCTTGGAACTTAATCTCGTTAATTTTTATTATAAAAGAAACTGAGTCATTGAATATCTACACAAATGACTTATTATACCTTATAAGAATTGTTTGTCATACATTTTCTGAAAATTTTAAAATCAGAAAGTCAATTTGTTTATTACACACAAAAAATATTTTAATTCGCTCTACACCATCTTTCAAATGATACTTTGTGTGATTCAAATAGTTACTTTTTCAAATCTATTATCATTGATTTAAATAATATTATGTGGCAAAAATCCTAGTTTAGACTAATATTATACTAACGTTTTTTTATAAAATAGAAATTGATTTTATAAAAAAAAATTTATTGGAAAAAACCTGTAAATTAAACAGTATTATGAACACGATTAATCTAACAGTATTTTATGAAACCAAAGCCTTTCATTTTAAAAGTTGAAAGAGAAAATAAACGCTTTTAATTATAACGTTCAAAATGTAACTAGAAATGAGCCTCATAATAATCGAATTTTAGAGCAAATTAACATTCTACATAACTTCTTTAAAAATGCAAGCATATTGAAATTAAAAAATTCTACTCGACTTCACATTACTATTGCTCAAACACTACATTTTCTAATAATTTCGTAATGACTTTGAATGTGACTTTATTTTGATTATATAGGATCTCATAATGAAAATTAGAGGCTTTTTACAAATTATAAGTTCTTGAAGATTACCTTTCTATGACTTGTATTGAAAATATGAAAAGTGCTACAAATTGTATTATTTATAAAAGGAATTGAAAAAATCTATAATATGAACATGCCGTTTGCAAGAAGTTAAATTTCAATCATCTATTTAAAAATTAAATTCGAGTTGATGGAATACCTATTAGCCAGTCGGCAAATTCCCCTACATATTTTGGTACTTATTAGATTAGATAATAGTAAAAAAGCGCTATTTTTTACAGCGAAGATGTTATGTACCGTTTCGTGCAATGCAAAAAAATCTTTAAGCAGGAGCTTTCAAATATCTTATAATTGTATATCAAACGAAAACTATACTAAATGATTATTTATTGCAATAAACTAAGTGTAGTTGTGTGATAAATATAATAACTATGACAAGTTAGTAAAAATATTACTTTTCTTTTTAGAGTCAATAATTCAATCCAAATTGTTGTTAGTTTCATGTTTTCGTAAAACGTTCTGAAAATTTCCAGAAGATGGCTCTCTACTTACAAAATTCAATCGGTATCTTGTTGGCAAAAGGTAAATTTTATTTATTGGTAAAGTAGCAAATATATAAAATATGATTTTATCGATTCAATATATTCTAGAAGGTTGAATATATTAATTTTTTCTTCTTTGTTTACATGTTTAAAAAATCAATATTGGACTTAAATTCTTCTGTGTAAGGTTTTCGCAAGTAAATTATTCATGTTTGTCGATATTACTTACGTTATTGTAACTTTTGTACCTTCGTATCCAGTGAACATTGAGATTTTATACCTAATGGTAATACGTAGTTGTAACATGGTAGTTAATTTTATTAAATTCTCAAAAAATATTTTAGTATTAATATGGTAAATAAATTAAGCAAGCGTGAGAAGTTCGTCTACTATTTTTTTAAGTTGTGGGGTCATGCAAGTATTTCTTTTCACGAAGATTCAAAAAATAATTACAATTTCAATTTTACGTGTTCTTTCATTGGGATTATTTACAATATTCTTCTATTTACTCTAGTTCTTATCATAAATTATATACCGTTGCAGTTTATAAATGGGATTCCAGAGGACTACATGAGTAAAACTCATAAAATGTTATTTTTATTTCATGTTATATTGGTCAGTATCGATTCTTTTATTATTCTTATTGTATTTGGTTTGAATCAAATGGGCATTTTAACAATTCTCGATCAAATCACTAAAATCGACGATCTAGTTCGAAAGATCGAAATCGATAAGAAGTATAAGTTAAGGAAAAAATTAACAAAGATATTCTGTATTGTATTTGGTGGTTATTTTATTATGATTTTGATTATTGCACCTTGTTCTCAATCTCAAGATGCATATTGTAATCTTTATATAAAATTACTTTTTATTATACATGATGGATTTTTGTTTACTTTAATCGTACAATATAGTTTAATTTTAGGGGTGATTAATAATGCTTTTTATACGATCAATAAAAATTTACTTGACATACCACAACATGAAAGTGAATTAAAATTCTCAAATTCTATTGATGCAGATCTTGATAAAGATCTGTTGTCGGGATATTCAGAACAAAGTTCGAAGAAAAGTCGAAATAGCGTGCAAAATTTCTTCACCAAGTCAGTTGATCGCAAATTGACTTTGTTTAAAAAATTGTTCGACGAGCTGTACATATTATCCGAATATCTGTCTAAAGTTTATTCTTATCCCGTATTGTGTATATTATCCTTTTACATCGTTGAAATTGTCACAGAATTGCATTACATCATAAAACCTTTCATGATGGGATACAAAACACAGGGCACTTTTTCGAGCTTTATTGGACATATCATTTCGTGGATGACACACGCCAGCGCACTGTTTATTATTACGAGATCAGCTGCAGACGTTTCAAGAGAAGTGAGTTGTTATTAAATAATAATCGTATTTTTAAATGATCATTCTGTCACAGAGGAAACGTACCCGACTCATATTAAGTGATTTGCTGGAACAGTTCGATTATCCCAGTATCGTTCGGAAAGTGAGTTAATGAAACTTTACCATGTTGAATGTATAGTAAATTTATTAATTATATATTTTCTACAAATACTTTTTCAGTTACAAACCCTTATAACTGTTTTGCTACATAACCAACTAGAGTTTACAGTGTGTGGCATGTTTGAATTGGATCCTACTTTACTACTCGCAGTATGTTCAAGCAAATGCATGTGTTGTAAAAATTTATTCTCAAAGTAATTTTATCAATTTTCACAGTTGGCTGGTACTATGAGCTCATACATTACATTCAGTCTGAGTTTCGGAAATTTTTAATTTACAATAAAGAAACCTCTTTTCTTTATTCTAAATGTTAAAAGGATGCTGGTAAATTACACTTGAGAAGATAATGAAGATGTCTTATTGGTATTGCTCGAAATGATTATTGTGTTTCTTATCTACGAAAGCTTTGTGATGGTTATAAAGTGACTTTTAAAATCAAGCATAATTGCGATAACTAGTGGAAAAATGGTTTTATATTTTTAAATGCGTGTTTTCGAAACAATTTACAGTATTTTTATTGAAAAAGAATCATCATTTTTCATATATATGATTTATGCATATTTTACTTGCAAATTATAGTAAAATATTCAAATAAAATTTCAATTAATCACGTGGTAACATTTATGACTCACTATAAATTTAAATTGTGATTTCCAAACTATTAATTTTGTAAATTTTTATTGAATTAAAAAAATTAACAAAACCGTAATGACATTTTAGCATTGAATAATAAAAATGAGATGATAATCTAATTGGGTAATTATTAGTTTAGTTTAAATTTTAAATTATCAGTATAATAATTTACTCTATACATATTTAAATTTAGTCCTTTCGATGAAATTATATTTTAAGAAAAGGTTATCACGTATCTACGGTTTGTGTTTAAAAAAGCGAATCCACGCAATTATTCCTGCGCCATAAAGTAGTCAATGAACTTTTAATTTTAGAGAAAATCAAAACTCGCCGTTTCATTTCAGAATATAGCTGTATGTATGAGAGTATTACAGCGTTATTATGCAAGGCTGTTCAAGAAATTCTGTAAAAGTACGTAATCTATAGAAACCAATTTAATTAGTAAAAGATTCTATGCATAAAGTATGCATATAAAACTTACAATTTTAATATTTCATGAATCTTAAGCGAATGTAATTGAATGGCTCTAAATTTCATGTGTTAATGATTTATTAAAAAGTTATTCCGCAATTTTAACACTCAATTTTGTTTTGCTTTTTTTTTAAATTGGTTGCAAAACTAATAAAAGTAAATTTCGTTGTAAAACCAATAATCATACTGTATAATCTACTTTAACAAGCTCGTTGATAATCAAATTATTAAAATTTTTCGATCGGCTCATGCACGAGTTTGAGCGCGTGTTTCTCTCATTACAGATCGTGTGAGTAGTCAATAATTGGCAGATTTTTAATAAAGTGACGTGATGCAAGCTTCGCAATATATATGTATATCTGTGTAATTTTTTGATTCGCTGAAATATCGTTAAGATTTCAATATTTTTCAGCCCTTATGATATTTTGTACATTCAAGATTCAAGCGTTACCGTTGAACAGGTGAAAAAACCCCAGTTTTTTTATGTTAACTATTTTTTTAAGTTTTTTCAATATTCACTTACTCTTTTCAAATGGCTTCATAAATTGTTAATTCTATAATCGATCAAGACTGGTTAATATCTGTAAGTTGGAGCAGATATCGGCGAGATGTGATTATTCGCTAATCACTAGCGAATGATATGATTATTTCCTTAATATCAAAAGAATTGCGATATACTAAAGGGACTATTATCGGCTCAACTTTTTGAAACATCTTTTTTTTTATTGCATTTTCTGATTGTTCATATTTCTGAGAACTACCTCCTAAAATTTGGTACAAAAATTTGGACTTTAAGTCAGCCAAAATCGGGCTTGAGTACAAGCGTATACACGGCATTCAATGACATTTGAAAACTTTGAACTCGTTTATCTTCAGATCATGTTTTTCGCATGGTGGACAGTCAATCTATACGGATGTACTCGGCTCATTCTTACCAAATTTTACACACTTTTTCATTACCATATCCGACAGGGTAATATATAAGAAAAAGGAAAATTGTAATAAGTATAAGACGATAATGGATTAAAAAAAAAACTTTTGGAAAAAAATTTTCAAACTTCCGCCTTTTTTTTTAATCAAATATTCATTTTTCTGGTATATTACTCTGTATCACACATTAATGAAGAAGTGGCTAAAATTTGGTAAAGATCAGCTAAGTAGATTCTGAGATTAACTATCCGTAATTGAAAAATCACTTTTTACGAAGATGTTACGTACTCCGAAAAAAAAATAGTAAAAAAAACAATGTTAAAAAAATGAATATTTAAATATTTATTTCTATCTATAAATAATTAACGATCAGAAAAAATTAATGATAGAAATAGCTCTTTTTCTTTTTTTTCAACCGGTAATAGTCTCTGAAATAAATATTCTAATTGATAATAACCTTTTTTACCTCGAAAAAATACAAAGTCGCTTAACACGCACATTAATTTTTTATTGACAAAATTTAATAAAGTAAGGGGTTAATAAAAAAACTGTATGATTATATTAATAAAAATGTGTAGAAATTAAAGGTAAATGTATCTGTAAAGGAATAGACTTAAAGAACTGATATTTGTTTTGGTTTGGTAATTTGATTCAAAAAATCATCGATACTTTCTGAATAAATTTTTAAAAAGATATACACACTAAGTTAGAGCAATCGCAATCCTCGTCATAAGAAATAGTTTTTGCTATTAAATTGAAAAATATTACTAAAAAATAAAAGTTTTTGAAGAAGTCTCGACTATGTGGAAGTTTTGCTATCTATTTAACGTAAGCCCTACCGTATTATAAAAATTTGCATGATACGGTTACTGCCGTGTACGTACATCGCATTTCTTATGCCGGTATTAAAGTCTTTCTCTCTCTCTCTCTCTCTCTCTCTCTTCTCCCCCAAAAGAGATAGCAAGAACTGCGCACCGAGAGTGAAAATACATTATACAGCACATGGTGAACGAACAAATCGCGCGAGGTGGGGCGCTCATATAAGACCTCTAGAGCAGCTAAGCTTTCGGCCTATTGAGTGTTGACCAATTGCTGCCCACACTCATACACGAAAAACACATCATCGAGTCGAAACATCGTACATAAATTATTTGATATCTGCTTATGTCAATATACAGTGAATAAATACATACACTATCGTGCTCATTAACACATTTGTTCATACCTCAAAAAAATAACTAAGTAAGGAGTCGGGAGAGAGGAGGGTGTCGTAAAACGGATCACTTGAAAGAAAGAGAGAATATATTGTCATTCAAGCTCAATTCAAGCCTGCTCGCTTACAAACACCCGCAGTTGTTGGTTAGCTTTTCAACGCTTAACATCATCGACAGCAAAGAGGAATCGGTTTTTTTTCGAGAAGCTAGTGCGTACGTTTTACCACGTTAGTCCCTTTGGATAGCCCAGAGATGTCGAAAACGAAGACAGTTGCTTCGTTGCTCTTCACATTGCTGCTTGTTCATGGTGAGTTAAAAATATTTTATCATTTATCAAATAATTAATTTTCTTTTTTTTTCTAATATTATCGAGGAAATATTTAAGCTCGTTTTTGTAACTCGAATTGCGTCTGCGACGAGACCTTGAACGGAAAGCTCCGTGAGCATATCGGTCAATGGACTCGCATGAATTTCCTCGATTCAATCATTTTCCTCTGCAACTGATTTTGCATTAAAGTCATGGTTAATAATAGGAAACAGTCGGCGGCATTTCTCGATTTCTAACTCTCGATCAGATGTACCGTGGAGTATTATGTTAATCGGCTAAGTTATCGACGAGCGGTTTCGCGCGAAAATATAGCAATTGCGACTATGCTGCATGCGTATTGAAAAGACCACCGCAGTTGGAACCTAGTGAAAGTTAATGAGACGCTTTTCGCTAATTGTATGCATATATGCGCAGACGCACATATGCTCGTTTTTCGCTCGCGTCAATCAGCCACACAATCTCATGAACGAACGAGTTTCGTATACTTTACTTGCTATTTGGTACATAAACTAGTTTTTTTTTGTTATTACGTATTATTTATGTATTAATTTTCTTGCCACATACAAAACTGGATTAATTTTATCGCAATAGCGGTTCTCAATAATCCTTACTATTTAATGCTGATTCTTGCATCCCATGAACTTTTAAAGCTTTAATAGATAAAAAGCTCTAATCATGTGCAGATTTCAATGTTAACGAATTTAAAGCTTCACAAAGGTTCGATCGGTTTGAACAATGCCGATTAAATTTTTGCCAAGCATTGAAAAACCAAATAATAAATAGACATGAATACCCGACAAAGAATTGCATGTAATATCGACAAAATCCTCGAGCAATGAGAGAACTTTCTCTGGTGCTCACGAGTGAAAATATGAAAGTGACTCGCTGCTGCAGTTGTTGCTGCAGCTGGCGCTACTACTCGAGAGTATCCTATAAGATCTCGCACGCAGGACTCTCCTTTTTGCCTGTGCAGTGCTCCGCAACAATCCAATGGACCAAACGAGTGAAAACGCTCGGATTATTCATTATTTTTTCTTCCTTCACGGTTACCTCGTAGTTTAATAATAAGTTTGTAAAGTTCCTCGACGTGCACGAGTATCGTTTATATTTCACGCTTGTGAACATTGACTCTGTTGGTTATTTTATGTGCTCGTAATCTATCTTTCAACAAGCTTGGGAAAATTTCGAAACATGTTGATATTTTTTATGAATTTAGTTGGTGTTTTTAATGTTTGGCCTGGGTAAACTTTGCAATCAGCATCCCTATAAAATCAAGCTTCCCACTGGGACATCGTTTATAATCACTTCGGTGGTGATTCTATATAAAATGTTGTTCTATATGAAAATTATCCAAGTAGTTTTTTCGACAATATTTCATGGAAATTTTTGAGAACGTATTAAGAATCTAAAATGTGTAATTCAGCTTTAATATCATATTTTATTTCTTTAAATTACACAAACACTCCTCAGTTACAAACTCTTATTTCATGACAAATGACACCCCAATTGAAAAATTTTTACGATTTTTTCTTCAATTTTCAAGGACAAATCGTATTGATCAGAAAAATGTTTTCTTCGCCCATAAGCTTAGAGTTTTCTTGCCTCACGAATTTTCGTGATCTGAAACGCATAAACACACCTAAAGAATCGAGTCGTGCCTGGAGAGGTTCGTAAAAGAAAGGAAAGTGGTGCACGCCACCGTCGTATCCTGCCTGCTTGCGTAAGTTTGAATGTATACGTGCAAATCTGTATACGTGATACAATAAACAAAATTTTTCTCGAATCGTGCGTGGAGGATTTCGTTGGGAGTACGTATACGGTAGCCGAGTAGCGAAAAAAACATCGAAAGGACACTGAACTCTTCATTAGTTTACGATTCATAAGCCGCTCGAGGCTCGCTTGTATACTTTTTCTACGTGATTCGACTCGTTATAATATTACGTACGACTATTGAATCACCAACAAGCGTTACATTCAAAGCCGACTTATTTTTTGCCCCTGACGCGTCCACTGAAAAATCCAGGTAGATCTCAATGAGACGTAACTGGAAATAAGTCGCCGAGCCACAGGAAAGAAGCCGGACTTTTCAAGCGTGATAATAAATGCGTGAAACATTAGATATTTTCTCGAGACGCCTCGACAAAAAACTTTTATTTCAGAAGAAAGTATTCCTACGTTGTTTACAACTTTTACTCCTTCATTATGCTCTGCCATTATAAAATAAATATCAATTATCAGCACAAAAGAAAAGTGAAAAATTATTAAATCGTGAGCGAGACTCTTAATTTATTTATTGCGAAATTTCGTACAGGCACGAGCGCATATTGTTGCCTCATGAAAAGTTAATGCCTCGGCCGTCTCGTCGTCTCGTGGCAGCTCGATAAGAAATGCCTCGTGGGCTGGGTATACCCATGGGAGAGCTTCGTGAGAAACGAGACACCTTCGACAGTGATTTGACGATTTTGTAATCGATCTTGGGTCGGCGAAAAAAAATATGCCAGCGTGACTGCCCTGTTACGATTTATAGAGCACACGATCTCAAATGGGCGTTGGATTGCAAATTTCGATGCATACAACATGGGTGTAACATTATTTATGAATCGCGGGTTGTATGGCGCATAAAATTTCTTTGCAAGAAATGCACAAATTCACTGGTTCTTCGGCGAACTGAACTTTTTAATCGGGAAATACCCGTGAAGTGCGGAAAATAAGTTACACAAATTCAAGCGTAACAATCGTTACGAGGATATGAACGATCCACTCTTGATTCTACTAAAATGGAATCGCGGATAACTGATATAATTCAAAGTTTCATTTAGACTCGAGCAAGTTATACTTTTAGCTAGAGCTAAAAGCCACCTTTCAAGTTCCGAGACGGAAAATTAGTCGTCTTACCTAGTTTGATTTTTCTATCCCAGTCGAGACTTGTTACATCAAATAGCTGAATAATACAATGTTAAGTAATTATCTTGCGGAAACCAGTAAGTTCGAGAAGTAAAATGTCCGAGCCAGCGATTACCGATCATCGTTTTCACACGAAAATAACACGAGTAATAAAATATCCTGATGGCAATTTTAAAGCCGTCTTTAACGTAATTTTCATATTGCGATAATTATCGGTTTGCTTTCGCCATCTATTGGCACTTGATATGCGAGGATCCACGAAGGTTGCGTTCCAAGGCTACGCTACAAAGAGGCGCAGCTCCAACCAAATGCCTTGGCTTCTCCGTAATTTGAATCGGTGAAAGCTGCGCGCTTATCTCGCCAGCTAGTTATGGCAACACTTTGGCCTTATGCATATCTTAGGACATCGCGCGAATCTATTTTAAGATCCGATGTACGTCCATCAGCATAGTTCCGTACGACGACCGATCGATTGTGCACAACGATTTTCGGCGCGGTATTAACACTTCCACACGCGTTACTAGACGTTCGGCTGCGCAAATAGGTTTGCAACGAATTATCTCGTTGATATCTAGAGTAAATTTTCACATTCATCATAGGAAGAAAGTGTTTCCTCGCACACTCGACTGCTGTTGGATTGTGAAAATTCTACTACTGTTGTTTCGTCGGCCAGACGTTTCGCGGACGTTGCAGCATCTGCCTCGAGCTAGAATATAGGAAAAGAGCCTTGATTTCCTTTTCGTTATGCCACGAGAAAGCGTAACGCTATCGCATTCATCATCCACGCACTCGTACTTGAGTTTTTATTTAATCTTCCGAGGAAAAGTTATACTTGCATACGCTTCTCGAGCAATGCCGGGTTTTATTATTTTAATCGCCACGCCATATCTTTCGATTCCTGCTTCGTCGAGTTATAGAAAAGTCCAGAACGACACGCGTTTCCATCAAGTTCCTGAAGTTTCAGAGCGTTAATTTTATCGTTACGATCGTGTTTCCTTAGATTTAAATCTGCACACATGTCGAAACATTGCGCTGAATCTACGAGTGCATTTTTTAAAAATGGTGCATCGCCTTTTTTACCGAAACTTCTCTTGGGTATTTTTTATTGCTCCAGCTAGTATAGAATTAATTGAAAGATGTTAATTAGCCTTTCTTGGGTGGACAATCTAACGATGTAAATATTCGAATAAATATCCTCAAAAGAGAAAGTTAGATACGATTTATTTCCGTAAAGTGTATTTAATTTCAGTCGAGTCATGCTAAGCAGTTTATTGCCGGCTAATACTAGATATATCATCATGAGTTACTTAATAAGTTACTTTTATCCAAAAAATACGTAAAAAATGAACTTTCCATCTAATGATTGCGAATTGACCCTGTGACATAGGCTCGATCGGCCAGAAACTGCAGCAGGAAGACCCGTGCCAGACAAAGACGCGCGTGGTAGGCGACGTGGAGTACTGCGATCGCTACTGGGAGTGCGTCAACGGCAGACCCGAGCTCTTCGACTGCCCCAACGGTCTGGTGTTCGCCGGCAAGCATCGCGGCGTCACCGAGGGCTGCGACTACCCGTGGCGCGCCAACTACTGCGAGGGCAAGCGCCAGGCCAACCCACCGATCCAGGCCGAGCACTGCGACTGGCTCTACGGCATCTTCGGCCACGAGACAAGCTGCACGAGGTATTGGACCTGCTGGAACGGCACAGCCACTGAACAGCTTTGCATCGGTGGACTGCTCTACAACGAGAGGTCCAGATCCTGCGACTGGCCCGAGAACGTCGAGGGATGTCAAAAGCACCGTAAGTTCTCATTTATGGATTTTTCCTTGTGATTAACGTCGACATCGTATTTGAAAATCAAATTTGACTTTACAGCTCTTTGTAACGACGACCCCAACGGTAACGTACCCCTTGGCAAGTCCTGCAATCGCTACTGGCAATGCCAGGGTGGATACCCACGTCTGCAACGCTGCCCAGCTATGTTGGTGTTCGATCGTCGCTCTCTGCGCTGCGTCGTGCCCCCAACGGAAGACTGCGACGTGCCACCGACGCCACCAGGCTACGACGGTGAATTGGGACCCGACGGTAACGCTCAAGAACCCGAGGAGGAAAATCTTCCCCCCGGTGTCTCGCCTCTGCCACCCCAAGTTAGCAATAACAATAACCACAATGCCAATCAGCAACTGAGGGGCCACCAAAACCATCAGCAACATCAGCAAAACCACCAGTTGCAGCAGCAACAGCAAAGAAACAGAACTTAAACTCGTTGTGATGCGATCGTGTTCACTTGGTCGTTTTAATCCATCGTCATCATTAACATTATTTTTACGTCATGATGTAACTCTTTAGCTTTTATGTACTCATGAAATCGTAGATTTTGCAAAACTGAGATGAACAACTACCGTAATTATATCGCGATGATGCACAAGACATACTCTCTTATACCTAAATTTTACTTTGCTCTTTTGCAAACGTTCATTGGTTTTTGTTTTTTATTTTTTCTACTTAGTACTCTAATTTATAAATGTATTCCTTACAATTTGTCTGCTCCACAGTTCTATAATGTGAAGTTACGTGTATGAACGGCTTAGATATGTTTACATATATTTTAATAGACGTATTTGGTAGTAAGGAAAATGTGCGAATGTGTTAATTGAATGAATAAATGTTAAATATGCTATTTTTGATAAAAATTGTGAATGAAGTAATGTAATTTCTTCCTTGGAATGGACTTGAGTCCTTAAATTTTGTAGCAAACTCGATATGAAAATATTATGAACAATTCTTTGTATAAATAAGAAAGTTTTATTGGAAATGACACTTATTTTGAAATATATTAGTACCTTTTAAAACTCAACATCCTGATTGTTTTTCTATTAAAAAAATTAACTACTGTTGAATAAATCAACAGTATATTTTCTTCATAATTGCAAAATATCTTGAAAATGTTGATAATCTACATTACGGAACTAACTAAATGGTCCCTGTATTTGCTTTATAATAATGAGGGAAAATAATTTAAACGAGTTGTGATAATGAACTTTATCACATAATTTTTTTACCAAATTTCGCATTCATATTAAATTTTGTGTTTGTGTAAAAAATATGTTCATCACAAAAAAAATTACAAAACTAGCGAAATTTGAGGTGCGAGTATAATTACAAATCAATTTTCCCAATCTTCAGTATTAATACAGATAATGCCCATACCGAAAGAGGTGCGAGCTTTTTCTATAATACCACGCGCAATAGCAATAAATAAATCGTGCTTTATGAACGTTTGCAGACCCAAGCTACGAACTCAATTTTTAATCATTTTATGGGGTGTGCTTTTTCTTTGAACCATTTTTTTAGATAAAGTAATAAAATTAGCAGATTTGTGAAAGGGACAAAAGGTATTTGTGTCTGCACTAAGAATAAAATTGTGAAAGTATAATTTTATTTGTCGACGGATGATCCATTTTTGATTTCTAACACGTACTCCGTATAGATTGCAATAAATCAACAAGTCATTGAATTGATCCAATTGGAGTAAATGTTTTTAATTTACAATAATTAAAAAAATATATTAAAAGTTCGAAATATTAACAAGTTTCGGTGGCTTCGTTTATTTTCTGACTGGAATCCTGGACGGATCGATTTTAAGCGCTGAAAAGATAATGGACGATGAAACGAGTTGGTTAAAAAATTGCGATATCAGGTCGAGGAAGATTATATATTTACCAATGAGGCAGCTCGTCACGGTCAAGGCAGCTGAGAGTCTCGGAGTCGAAGAGTTTGTCCTCGCCGCAAGTGATGAGTCTCGGATGACCCTCGACGCAAGTGATGAGGCGTCCACAATCGCCCGGCACGGGGAACCTACATAAAATCGCCAAACAAGTTCACCTCGAAGTTCGTATACTCAGAGTCTTGCGCAACGTATCGATGCACGCGCGAATAATTATGGTAATTTAAACGAAGACGCGACTCACCTTGGGAAGGGCCAGAAGCGCGCGGCGGCACCGTGCGGTGGGCTGCTCGGGCATCTGAAGCCTATGACCTCCTCGGGATTGCAGAAGGGTATGAGCTGATCGGGCCAGACGCAGGTGTGGCTCTTGGCGTCGTAGACGAGGCCGGCGTCGCACTGAGCTTGGTGGGGCTCACCGTAGGCGCACTTGATGTATCCCGTGCTGCAATGATCGCTGTCGGGATAGATGCCGAACTGGTACTCGCAGCCGGGGCTGCTCAACGGCACGACTGCAAATCATTGGAAGGTCAATTTGAATTGGTACGGCATGGAGTGGCCGAGGGAGGAAAAAAGGCGGTTAGACGTACTGTCGACCTGCTTGTTGCCGCAATCGACGGCCCAGTGGTAGTTGCAGTGATTGTGCACGGCGCCCTTGCCGTCGAAGAGCAGGCCGTTCTCGCATCGCTCGTAGCTCAGAGTGCCGTTGGTGCAGAGGAAGAAGGAGTTGCAGTCGGTCGGGTGCGGGTAGGCCTGGACACCCCAGGGCTCGGGGCACTGTGGCGCACCGTCCAGCAGTGCGTCAGCCGCTGCGCCTGCGAACGATTTAATTATCTTGTCATCGCGATGTAAACGAGTCGCGTTACGATCGGTAGCCGCCGGCGGCGGCGAGAGAAAACGATGGCCTTTGTCGATGGTGATGCGGCTGGCGCGACGCAATCGTGTAATCGAAAATTGCGCGTCGCAACGGTCGATCGAGACAGACAGTCGGCCCCGACGTAGGTAGCATATGGCAGTGAAAGCTGTCAGGAGCGATTGCACGCGGCGCCTTCGGTGACCACACGCGAGCGCCCGCCAGTCTAGGCGACATATTTCTTTACATCCTAATCCACCCGATTCGTAATAAGATCAACGAGATCGCGATCAAAACGAGTTTTCGCCGCCAAGTTCGCTAATTGTGCTCACGATCGTTGCAGCTAGCTCGAGAGCAAGACAATGGAATGGCCAAATTGGAATCGTGAGCGAGGACCGGTCGCGCATTGCGCTCGTGAAATATTTTTAGAAAAAATCGATCCAGTCTCCGTTTTATCAAAATCCAATTAAGTACGGGCGAGATAAGACGGGCGCGCGTTTCCAGCTGCATTTCACAAACGCTTCATTCATTTGCCAGCCCCGCAAATGTATACTAGTTAAGATATGGCCTTGTCAAAGTATAAAGTAACTACGATATTAATGCAAGCTGACACTTGCCCGCCGCCGTATACACTTTCTCCAGCGAGGTGAACGTTAATCTCGACTCGAAATACATATATGTAAGTAATGACAATCTGCGAACTTACCAGCAGCAAAGAGGCCGAGCGCCAGAAGGAAAAAAGTGAGCTTCGACTTCATGGTGTTGTGTGTATGTGAATGTGTGTATATAAATGTTCCGGTCCGTAGGTCGATCAGGGACTGTACTAGCACGCTATACGGCGCTGATTTTCGTGCAGGTCCCAGCGGCAGCGGTCGGCGGTGGCGGCGGCAGCAGTCGGAGCGACCAGCGGAGTTGCGATCGTGGCCTCGTGTACGCGTGTATGTTCTCCAGTCCCCTTCACCTGGTCTCGTGCTAGTGCTGCTTACGAGTCGTGTAAATTGTGTAGCACCTATTACCGATCCGATCGCGACCCCACCTTTGCGCTCTTTTTTGTGCCAACGCTGTTTTGTAGCCTGCAACAATGTTTTTCGTTTTCCCTCGAGCGTATGTGCTTTAAACGGTTTGGACCTCGAAATCTCCTGCCCGATACTGAATAATTGCTTTTTTCGGCTCTACTGATTGATCGACAGATGTATAATTTAATGATTTGTTATAAATCAATATTAACATATAATTATAATTATTTGCTGACATTTGACACTTAAATGAAAGATAATTTTATTTTAAGAGTAATCAAAATCAATTTATTTTTGGTCGAATTGTTCTCTAGGAAAAAAAATGATGGCCAAATAAAATAAGCGCCTGAATTACGCAGCACTTGTCCGAAACAAACCGCTCGTTGTACCGACGTATCGAATTTCTACAGCGGCTAAGGAAGGTATTCACCATCGCTGCATTGAATATTGTGTCAACAGCTGAGCGTTAGTAAAAAAGTATTCCTTCGAGTTCAACGTTTAATTATTAATTCCCACGTAAAAACTCCTCGATCGAACGTCGATTGGATTCGACGTGTTTTTTTAGGCAACCGTTTTGGCAATTATGAATGTCTGCTTCGAGTCAAGATTTGCTAAATTGTAATTCGTGACCGACAGTTAGTAGTCTTATCTCGCTGCGAAGATCTCAAAGCACCAAAGCGTATTACCAAACGATTAGCAGAGTATAATATTATTACGTGGAGAATGTGTATTCGCGCTTACGTACAAAAGAGTGCATCAGCATGTACGAGCACGAGGCATTAGGAACGGCTTTTTTAATTAACTAGAAAAAGATGTTTGCAAACACCCGTGGAGCGAAGCGGGCGCGAGTTTACCGCATCTAGGCGCTTTCACTCTCTTTGGCTCCGAACTCCAGCAAATTCGTACGTGCTTTAAACCGCGTGTGTACCAACATGCATACGCGCACATACAGACTTGCAGAGAACGCGTAAAGTATTGGTTTTGCATTCCAAACTCTCGTTTATCTCCTTTTCAACTTGTAGTATACATAATACACAGGAGCAGCTACAAGCGATACATATAAATATGCCGAGATCGTGAGCTGCGCCAATGCATGCGCTTGCGAAAGTCACCGAAAATCTTGATCTATATGAACGAATCTCCATAATGTGTCCGCTTTGAATAATTTTTTATCAATATTTTCGATTAAAATGTGAGAATGAATGCAAAGATTTGGAACTTGTATATTCAATCGACCGAAAAAATCTATAAAAATTTGCACGTATTCTAAAACTATAATTTTAAACCTTTTTTTATTCTGCAAAGTTTTTCGTAGATTTTGATAGAAAAATGTACATGTATTTAATAAAAGACACTCAAGACTTTTTTAATGAAGCATTAATATTCCGCAACGAGATAATTACACAGTGGAAATTGAAGATCACATATGGTTAAGGAGTCTTTCATTGTCTTTCATGGGGAATTCTTCATTGTCAATAAAGCATCAAAGAAAATTTAATGAGTATGTCACATCTTTCGAGCATTTGTAAAAAAAAGAGGAATTTAAAAATCCAAGTTCATAAGAGTGCATCTAATGCTCAAAAATTCATTCTTCTAATTTCGAAAACGCTCAAGTTACGGAAGAAAATTCTTCTTATTTCGAAAATGCTTAATATACTTAGTATTGCACAAAGGAGGCATATTTTATTATTATATTGTAGGTATAAATTTTATACTTTAGTGAAGATATATTTTCAAAATCTACTCAATTTTCTATTTGATTGCTTTATTGATCTGAGAGCTGTGAGAATTTAATTTTTTACTGTTTTGAATTATCACCTTGAAAATACAAGTTATATTTTCAAAATATAAGTTATACTTTACGATCATGTACGTACTAATCCATGATTTCCAATTACCTACGCACATTCACAGGCATGGAGCCTATGCGCCCGTGTATGGGTAATAAATAAAAAAACTCACATTAAGTGTACGGACTTATTTAGAGTTTTCACCGTTGAAAGACCTATTTTATATTTTGTACCTGGAATGGGCATCATTTTTATCTCGTTTGGCCCTTAGTTTTGCCTCTTACCCTTTCCAAGGTACAAGAAATATCTTTTATACAATACTTCTTTATCCCTAATTATAGTTTAAACAAAAACTTTTTTTGTTACAAACCCTTTGTTAAAATTGCATTTTCTCATCAAATCCTAAAAAGTATTCAAATTATACAGTTTTTCGATGATCACCCATATACATGCACAGAGCCAAATCGTTACTTTCAGCCGAGAACGATTAATAGGGTTTGATTATCGAAAAGAAAAATGAACCACTCAATAAGGTATTAGTAATTTCGTATAAAGATTTATCATGATTGAATTTAAAAAAAAATCTTAAATGTAGGTTTTATTATTTAGATACATCTATGCAGTAAAAGAAAGAGCACGGAAGAGATTGGGCATCCGATTTTTTCAATTCTTACACAAATCCTTATTTAAGAATATTCATAATGTAATGAAAATTTTTTAGTTTAGAAATCTTCAAATAGTTTAAACTATAAACTACGTAATAAATGTAAAAAAATTACACGTAATTTGCGCACTAATACGCAGGTATTTAACTGCTGCTGGCATTATAGCTCCTTATGCTAAGATAATCGTGTACACACAAATGCGTCAGAGTGTCTGGCACAAATCACCGATAAGTCGGTAAATTCTCTCCTCGTTGTGCAGCGATTTTTGCGTCGTGTATTCACTGGTGTTGACGCACACTCGTACGCACCACTTCGTTGAGATCATTTAGTTTTTAGTTTTGTAATAATCCTCACTAAAAGAAAGGAATAGAAGACGGCATCAGGTCAGCTGAGATGTAATTAGTATAAAATGAGTTTAGCGATAGCGTCTCGACGGCTGCAAAATTTACAGTTCAACGCATGCAATGGTGAAAGTTTTGACCGATGCCAATAACGCGTAATAATTTTGAGACATTGCGTAATCGCTGCAAACACAAAAACAAACTGGAAAAAATCGAACGAATTCGAGGCAAAACTTTCTCCCACGCGCCAGACAAATTTTGCATCGTAGCCCGAGCAGACACATTGAAATTATACTGACCAGCCTTGGACGGATTCGGGCTCGGTACATCTGAAAATGTCCTCGTTGTAAACGAGACCCTCCTCGCATTGACCCTTCTGGGGTACCATTCCGTTTCGGCAGATGTAGAATTTGGCGCAGTCCTCCGGATGAGGGAAGGTCGGATGGGGCAGGATGCGACCCGATGGCCCAATTACGTCACCGGTGGGACAGCTGAAGCCGTCGTCGAGCACCTCGCGCTGAGGACTCGAGCACAGCCTCGTCGAGTCCGTTGCCCACACGCAGCTTGACATTTTTTCTTCGTAGACCAAACCAGGTGGACACGGCATTAGCTGACGAGTGAACATTTTTTTGTCAAACATATTTGTTTCAGGTTCTTTCGCAACGAAGATTGTTCTCTGTTAAACCTACCTGTGCCACACCGTCGATGCAATTAACAAATTTATCGCACATCGCTGGGTCCTCGTGCCTGAAGTATCCGTTGGCACGTGGGCAGTCCTTGGATGGCTGGGGCTCCTCTGTAATAGAATGCAGAAAGAAAGAAGCTGCTGCTCAGTGGTCCAGTGACTTTGACAGTTGAAATATATAATATATTATTTTCTCCGTCCCGCAAGAGCGCACATAACTCGTGCACGTAATTAACATAATCGACGAGTCGAGACAAGGATACGAGGATAAAAGGATGTGGAGGCATCGGGTCAGCAATGGATGTTACTTTTCAAAGAAGAACCTTGAGCTGACCGGTTTTCCTCCAAAATCGCCTTTGCAGATAAAAATAAATATATACGTCTACATATAGATGTATATACTGCATGTATTTTCATCGGGTGACTCGACGCGAGCGGCGAAAGTTGCCGCGTGTACAATTATATTTTGGTTCGACAGCTGCATTTATGTATACACGACGTATAAAGGTATTATAATTTTACTACTGAACGTAACAGAGTGAAATAATATTCTGCTTGTCAATAACACTAATCTGGAATGTTTTGTAATTTATAAAATTGCGTAAAAAAATAAAAAAAAAAAATCAAAGGGATGTCAAAACGACAATAAAAAAAAATTTGTAAACTGATTTTCTGAGACTTAGAAATGTATCTACGCGTGCCGAAAAAATATTAAAACAGAAAGCTCTCATAGAAGCGCATGCTTAGGACCTAATAATAAAGAGATGTTGAGTCATAGTTTCAAAAAACGGGTTTAAAAATTGTTATCGAATAAAATATAATAAGAGCTAAAAGGATCTCGCGTTCATTGGCAAGCATGGCCAGTCAAAAATGTCTCGGGTGCATCGGAGCCATGGGTGCAGCTTCAAAAATTATGCGTACCATATCGTTTGGCCGCGATTATTATGTACGCGCACGTTTGACTGATGAGTTGCCGTTAGAGCCGTAGCCAGAGTCGGGACCGTACAATACGCACATAACTGCATAATACATGACGCAACGCAGGATCGTTATATCACCGAGGCCGCGTCGCTGCACCGGGCTCATATTACATCTTACAGCTGAGCAGCAGCAGCCGGTCGTTGGCAAGGGGCGAATTTGAATTGCAATTATTTTTCGTCGTCGTCCGCGCTCGTAGGCGGACGGCGTACGATGTCCCGAATGGGTGCGGGAGGCGCGAGCTTGCATACGAATGCGTCGCGTCGCGCGCCCGGATCATATACTCACGCAGAGCGGTCCTGTCGCCGCAATCCACGTTGGCAGGTACGTCGCAGAGTTCCCTCTTGGGATTCTCGTCGTTGAACACGAGGCCGTCCTTGCAGAGCTTCTCCTCGGGCTGGTCGTCGACGCAGTGGAAGTAGAGGTCGCACTGATTCGGGTCCGGGAAGTAGCCCTTGGGCTCGGGGCACCTGAACTGCGCCCCGGCCAGCCAATTGCCGAGCAGCGCCGCCGTCACTATCAGGACGTAGGTCGATTTCGTCATCATCGTTGGTCGTCTGGGATGTTTGCTTGTTTCTAGTCCAATGGAGGTGCGCGTCGATGCGTCGAGGATGAATCGTGCTCTCGGGGAATTGGGGAATCGATTGTCTGCCTTGGCTCCGATCTGTACTTTTTGAGCAACTAAACTGCTGCGCTTTCGCGCGAGTCGTTAGCTCGCGCGCTCGTACGAGCTGCAGCCGCACAAATAGCCCCCGCTCCCTCCCCCCACGAACGAGCGAGAACTTATGAGCGCGACGCCTGCTCAGCCAGGCTCAGACTTATATATACGTGGACGAGTTTGTCTACCTCCTATACACATGCATGCCTCTGGACCACTCACATGCTTGCAACAAAGTCTGTGTCTTTCTCCGAATATTTTGCTCGCCCGACACGACAACAACGGCCGTCTCTCCTCTCTCTCTGCTCTGCCTAAGCCTTTTGACTCTTGTCTTTGCTGCCCCACTGCGTTTACTTCATCTCTCTCTTTTTTTCTTCTACAGTGGCAAAGTTTTTGACATTTCAAAAAAAGGACTTTGGATATTATTAAGCACGGGCAGTCACAACGAATGATGACCCGCACGGAAACCAATACAATGGGGAGAAGCTCTCTAACTATTATTCTGTCTCCCAATTGCCTAATTTATGGTAATTTTTAAATATTTGCATTGTGCCTAATCGATTCATTTAAAAAATTCCATAACATTCTAATATTATAAAACTACAAATTTTGAGTTTGAGGTTACCGAAAAAATCGGTAAGCCAACTCCGTCCTTCCTTGTTGAATTGCACAACACCGACTTTGGTTGATATATGCATATCTATAAATATAGATCTACGCATGTGTTGCCTACTTTTACGAACAAAGAGTACAAATAGATAAGCTCCAGCATTATATAGCCGAGTAGTTCTACAAAAGGTCTACATCTGTCAAACGATAATCAACCGGTTATTTGCGAGTCTGCATGTAATGCCGATTTCTAGTTACAGCACGAACTAGGATTTAATTCGCGAGTACACTCAAGTACACTCGATCTTCTATCGTCGGGTTTCAAACGACAGCTCGTATGGGGTGAAAAAAATGACCTAAAGATGATGTTCGGTTCGGCGAGAAAAATCTACTCGATAAAAATCGGTACCTCTTGAATTAATTATTTCGACCATAAGTCCGTGACCCAGATTTTAAATACTCTAATTATTCAACACTATCAATTGAGCTTTTTTCGTCCTCATACTTCAAGTATTAACGTGCATTATGATGGATCAAGTCAAAAGGACGAAGGACGCAAAATTACTTCATTACTAATGCCGAGGTCAACGTCATCATGGATAAAAGAAGGAAAAAACTTGATATTCGTAACAATTCAGAACTATTTAATTACGAATAATCGATACTTTTTAATGATTATTACGTGAAGGTTGGAAGCGCGAGTAAGTGGCAGACATTGAGGTTGCGGTCGGTTGTCATGCTTGACGTTTTTTGAAGGTTCGCATACCGATTTACATTGAAGAATTGGTTCAAATTTCTACTCCGTTCAAAACTTACTTTTTAAATTTATTTTGCTTTTGTCGAGGATATAATTTTTATAACTGTAAGAAAGTTGTAAAAAAAATGTAAAAGTACTCTCATGGAGTTGTCTCATGCAGTAGTCAAGAAACTGTTTATTTTCGTGAGAATAGGATATTAAATGAAGGCAGCTGTTCACTGATTCGAATAGCTACTTATTTGCCCAACTGAGCGTATCTCCTTCCTTAACACAAAAAAAAAATTAGCTTGCAGATCTTTCTCTGCAAAAAAACAAAGCACAATCATTCGAAGGTGAAAGCTGAGATTTAAAACTAAATTTTAATACTTTGATCTTGATCGATATTAACTTCGTGAAAAAATTCAATTTCATCTAGTAACTCAAAGTCATAAAATTTTAAAGTGTATAATATTTTACCCAGTAAAATAATGTACCTATAGCAGTGATTTTTTAACCTTCAAGAGCGTAATATAGCAACAAGTGCAACTTTTGAAAAACGCACAGAGAGTACAGAGAAAAAATTAGATCTAATGTGTTTTTAATATATAAATAATAACGTATCATCTGTTTTTACAGTAAATGTAAGAAAAATAAACGTGTAGAGTATTTTTTCAACGGAAAATTTTGTTATTGTGCAGAAAACTTCAACATTTTTGGTAATTTATATGAATGCAGAATGAAATTTATTTTTAGCAATTGTATTTGTTTTGGATTTATCTTATTTGTCAAGAGTGAAAAAATCTCTCGTGAAAACTATCCAATACATCTGACATTATAAATGTATCCAGAGAACTGACAGCGATCAAATAAAAAAGGCAGAACATTTTTTTTAGAAACGTTTGGTTGTTTTTTCAATTTATTACAAATAAAAATTTGATTTAATACATCTAGATGACATCGATGATGTAATATAAAATGTTATATGTGGAATGATAACAGGCGAAGATAATATTTAATAGGTTTTGTAACAATACGGCCATCCCGATACGGGACATGCGCAATTGAAATTTTTGTATTAAACATTTTTCGTACTGATGAGCTTTTTTTTACACGATGCGCCGATTTAGTGTTTCTTGGGTTCTTCTTTGTACCAGTCCTCGCTGGAAAAGTAAAAAAATATAAAGTCAATAAGGTGTATAATTTTGAATTATAAAGATCGAGGTAGCTTTGAAACTCACCATCCAGGAACGTTTTCGGGGGCGTCGCACCTCTGGGCCACGTCGTTGTAGACCGTACCGTCGCTGCAGCCCTGCTCACGGGGGTTGACGCCGTTCAGGCAGACATAGAACTTCTGGCAGTCCTCGGGATGGGCGTACTTGGGATGGTCGACGGCCTGGCCTCGGCTGTCGAGTCCGGTGTCCTTGGGGCAGCGGAAGCCGTCGGAGAGCTCCTTGCCGACCTCGCCGCAGCCCTGGCGTCCGGCGCTGTCGGGCCAGACGCAGGTGCCGCTGTACTCGTCGAAGTGCAGTCCGGTCGTGCAGGTGATCTCAATGGCGTCGCCGTCGATGCAGTTGTAGAAGATGTTGCAGACCGATGGGTCGGGGTGGGCGAAGAATCCGTTTCTGCGCGGGCACTTTTTCGTCGGCTGAGGTGGCTCTGCGAATCGAAACGCGACCAGTTATTTCCGCTGCGCTAGATTATCACGGCGAGTAACGATTTTCGCGAATATTCGTGCTGAAAGCTGGACTTACGGAGTTCGAGCCTTTCGCCGCAATCGACGTTGAATACGTGATCGCATTTGTTGACTTTCCTGTTTAACGGGTCGAAGACCAGACCGTCCGGGCAGTACTTTTCAATCGGTAAGCCGTCAATGCACTCGTAAAATTTGTCGCATTGTTTCGGGTCTTCGAACTGGCCGTCGTCCCTTGGGCAATTGAAGGCGCCGCCTGTTGAAATACGAATACAATTTCGTAAATATCGATGGACTACGGTGCTACGAGCTACGAGTCATTGTGAAATTAAAGTTCGGCTTTGAACCGAGACTCCTATTATACGAGAGAAAAACCAGTCCTGAAAATTTTTGGGTTTTTTTTTCAGTAAAATCGATATTATAGCTGCGCGTGCAAACTAGAAGTGATGTCTAGTCGATGACATCACTGAAAATCTCTCGCACGTGGACGCACGTGGCAAAAATTGCGAAACCACGCGTCGTTTAACAAACGTTGGACGTCGTATAATTATAAATACAAAAATTATCACATCCTTGCACACGTGTAAATTCTTTTCTGTATAATTATCGGTTAATAGCATTTTATTCATTTAACCTCGCAAAGATTCTTTCTTTTTTCGGCAACATTTATGATTATACAGCATATTCACACGATAATAAATAAATAGCTGTAAATACCTATAAAATAAATCGTCAAGCATACGCTTTGCCGGCCCCACGAAAAGTTTTTACGTAATCCGTAAAAGCGCGTGGGCAGTTTAAGGAAAAAGTGCGAAGCGGCGACTACGGCGATCGAGGCCTATGGCTTTTTAGAAAGTGCGAGTGAGAGATTGCGTGCTGCACATATGCTGTACGTCTGGCCGCGCGAGAGCTAATTATCTGCCTAATACGCGCCGATGATTAATGTTCGTTCCGTTCTTCAACCGATTTTATAGTCTTTCCTTTGTTTTTTTTTGTTTTTTGTTTAATTCGCGTTTTCTTAATGAAATCAAATGAGCGCAATGAACTGCGAAAGAAATTCAAGCAGTTAAAATAAAAAAAAAGATCCAGTTTTCTCTTTCAATTATATCGATGCGTAATAGTAGAAAGTTAAAAAAAGCAACTCGTTTCGGATTAATATATAATTGATATCGAGGAAAGTAGATGCATTTGCAATCGGTGAGCTTCTAAGCGCGATGAACATTTTAATACCGAGCAACAAATTTAAATATCCCACTTTTGACTTTCTAATCAGTGAGAGTGATACTTGTTTTTCAAGAGTCAATCGACTCTTTTTTTATCGACGCTCTTCGGTCATTGTACTCGAGTATAACTTGGTAGCGAGAAAATAAGTTTCGATTAAAAGTGTGACTCGAGGAAAGGCTAAAGCTTCGAGAAGCCTAAAAAGGCTATTAATCGCGAAAGCTGATCACGTTGGTTAAACTTCACGCCGACTGTTAAATCAGCAAAAGGTTATTGACTCTAGTTCTTTTTCGACGTTGGAAATGTATATTTTATATGTGAATGACTAATAATGATTAAAATGAATTTTAATTATATTCGGCATTTTTTTTTTACTTTAAAAATAAATTTTGAGTACTTACTGGCAAGGGCGACGAAACCCATTATACATATGATTGCTGCACTTAATTTGGCCATTTTGTTGTCTCTGTTTTAAAATACAAAAAATTAAATTAATAATTTTTAGTTGGACAATATTGAGAAACCTTCGAAGAGGATGATAAAGTAACTCACATTAGCAACAAACGTGTACCGATGCTTGATTGTAAGCTCGTATGTCTTGGCTAGGAGGAGCGATTATCTCTGGACGATGAAAAGTCGTCACTCGCTGAAGGACTGCAGAAATGGACAGTCGTGTTCGTTGAGTATACCTTCTCGTCCCCCACCCGATGGTCCTCTCACATTTCCCCACTTTCACTCGGGAACGTAAAATAAGCATATACTTCATTACAAAATCATACGCATCAAACCCCGCTCTAAAAGTCTGCTTATCATTTCTGGCATGTTGTACAAGTTCGGGTATCCCTTCCTTTTTTCCTGGAGTCTTTATAATAGTTTAATGACTTTACTAAATTAAATTTAAATCTGAGTGCGGACGTGTCAATGCTCGCTCATTGCAATGACCCTCACCTATTGAACCTAAATTTGTCGGTCAAGTTTGAGCAATAATTGTTGCAAATTTAATAGGCTACTCGTTGTACACTTCAAGAATCTTTATAAAATTTATTTAATTATTTTTTCGTTTTAAAAATCAAAGCTTTCGATTTACAAGACTAAACGTTTGTAGTTCGTATAACAAAAGATCGAGCGTTGACTCGCATCTTAAATCAGTCACGCGTCATTTTATCTCTCTCTTTCTCGTTCAGCGCTCCGGTAACTGCAGTGTTTCATTCAACTGATATAAATTTTGGTTGCAGCTGTTGGTATTATGCAATAATTTTACGAACATTTTTTGGCCAAAACGCTTTTTAAAATTTAATTTCAAAATAGTTCTTTTTAATATTAAAAGATATCTCATTGATTCACATTTCTGCACGGACCAAATATAATAATTTAAAAAATAGTCGAGAGTGCTTTTTTTCGAAAGCGTTACTTAACTCGAATTTTTAATTTTATACGCTTGAATTTTGAAGAGTAGTTACTGAGTGAATGAAGAAATAATTATAATTGTTTTCTATAAAAGTTTTACGGAGTGAAGTGTCACTGTTAATGAAATGATAACAAATAATTGTATTTCATTTCAAGTGCTAAACTAACTTGGCTTGGGTCAATCCACTACTACATCAGTTACTATCTACTAGAAAAATTTTATCATTTGTTATTGTCGCATGAAGATTTAGTTAGACATAACACTCAAAGAAAGCTTGATATTTAAATTACTTTGGCACAGTTAACATTTTTTCAATCATTTAAATGATTTGAGTCACGTCAGACATATTAATGATGAAATCTAAATGAAATCCAAAAGTATGGCATGTATAAATAAATTTGTCGACATCATGTACAAACATCTTCTCAATCAAACTTTGTTTAAATTTTCACGAAATAAAGTTTCAATAGACGCACTTTGAAGGAAATCAAAAAAGTATCATTCATCGTTCATTTTTTTATTTAAAATTCCAATTTCAAAATTTATAAATGATTACAACAACATAAAAAACACATAATATAACAAAAATAAAAATTTTGGAAAAATTATTCAACATTTTTTTTAAACTTCCATAAAACTATTGGGTTTTTCATACTGGAGAATGAATGATTTATTAGGAATTCTTACTCTATTTTACATACAAGTTGAACAATTTTTTATACTTTTTTTGAGAACATTTCACAGTTTTAATCTTAACAATAAATGAAAAGTTTATTTTTTAAAAACCCTCTTAAAAATGCCGTGTCTGAAGAGGAAGCCGTAACATATAAAACGTTTGCGTAAACTTTGTTCTTCGCGTCAGTCTTATAATGCCTTATCTTGCAATCACTACAATTATGTGAAATAAAATTCAATAATATTTATCAAAGGCAGAGCTAGCAACTTTCTCAATGCTTTCAAATTCATGGTCATGTGAAAATGAGTCGATGGTTTATCTCATTCATTCTTCGGCAGGTTCAACATCACGAGGTCTTGCTCCTTTCCTCCTACTGGAAGGGTTGGCAGATTTGACTGGTTTTGGTGGATTCTCCAAAGCATCTAATTCAGCATCAGTCAAGACTCCTTTGTACCAGTCTTTGCTGTAAGGTTGAAAAATGTATATCAAGACTTGCTACTCGTTAAAAGTTCATAACCGAACTGATGAGTATTACCATTCAGGGATTTTCCTAGCCCAATCGCATTTGCCCGTGGACTCGTCGAAAGCTTGTCCGAGCTTGCAACCACTTCGTCTGGGTGTCTCACCGTTTATGCAAACATAAAAGAACTGACAGTCCTCGGCGTCAGGATAGCGAGGGTGGGTAGCGGCGATGGATTCGTCAACTTTCGGGCAGGTAAAGTTGAAGAGTTCCTTGGAGCCGCAGCCAGTTTTCTGAGCCTCGTCAGGCCAATTGCAGATGCCTGTTTTCTCGGAGAAGACAAGTCCATCTGGACACTTGATCATGTTGAATTTACCCTCGACACAGTAGTAGAAGGTGTTGCAATTGGTTGGGTCCTCGTGACCGAAGTAGCCGTGCATGCGGGGGCAGTGAGCAGACGGTTTGGGCTTCTCTGTGGAATAGAAAAAAAATCGGCACCATGAATATGGGCAATCAGTATAAAAGAAGCTCGAGGAACTTACGAAGCTTGGGCCTCTTGGAACAGTCAATGCCGAAAGGCAGATCGCACTTCTCGTGCTGTGGGCTGAAGTCGTTGAAAACCAGACCGTCGGGGCATAGCTTCTCCTCGGGCTTTCCGTCTTGGCAGTCGTAGTACTTGTCGCACTGCTCGGCATCGGGGAAGTAGCCGTTGGGCTCGGGGCATCCCTCGGAAACTTCGCTACTGCTGCTGATGGTGTGATCCTCGTCTTGATCGTCCTCGTCAGCGGTCGCGACCGCAGCTACTCTGCTCGGCGGACGTTTGTACAACGCCGACTGTCCGTGTTTGCGTCGATTTATTTCGGCGGCCTCCTGTTTGCGGCTCATCGCTGCCGATGTCGCTTCTGTGCCATTGAACAAAGGATATATGTTTATCAGATTGCATTAATCGATTCGACGTAGACAAAAGAGCGTCGCAGTGCGGGGGGACGGTCCGTCGCGACATTACGAACGCGTTGCGGCCGATCTTTGACGAAGACGATGACCTTAGCTGTCGCTCGTCCCTGAGAGGAAACGAGCCGATCGCGTCTACCTGTATAAGTTACACGGGCAGCGAGTATGAGTGTATATAAAATGTATATATTCGTGACGTCTGGTCGACCTCCACAATGCGCGTACGTGTGCGCGAAGAAGAGAAAGCAACAACCGGTCGCCGCCGATATTATACCTTTGCGCGCGTACCTACCTATACGCGTTCGACGTTATGACACCTATTTATGAGCTCCTCGCTTTGTCGCGCCTTTCTTTCTTCTCTCTTCTATGCACGGCCGATCACTCATTCCGATTCTTTTACACTTCGAGCTTACTTTCTATACATACGCAAACGGCGAGACGCGTTTAAAAACGAAACTTCGGCTCGTTCGAGCAAAAAGTTCAGCCGGATAGTGTAATCGATACGTGCGAATTATGGAACAATTATGTACATGAGCGTACACGAGTAACGCAATGATACGATGAATGATACGCCGTGTCCCTAATAGTTTCTCGGCAGTCTCACGCTCTTTTGCAAACTCGCTGGAAAGCATCCGAGCCGAATGTTTACAACGCGTCTACATTGTACTCGAGCGAGTACACTGGTAAAAAGCCTCGACGCTCTTCGCATTACTCTGTTTGCGCACTTGTAATATGTTTTGGGTGTAAAAAAGTCACTTTCGCTTGCTTCATTATTTCGCGAAATGGCTTGTCTGCGAATTTCACCCCGGCATGGCTCGGCCGAAGCTCTGATGTCGCAACATCAACATTGAACTTTCCCCAATTGTAAGCTAATAAATACACTCGTGGGAAAACAAGCGCAACAAGATTATAGTGCTTCAGACTTGGGAACCAAAAATAGCTCTGTTGATATTAGCTTCATAGACCTTTAACCATTCCATGAAAAATACCGATCGTTGCAATCAAATTCAAACCAGATACCTGAGTACATATCGCGGCAAAATATATTATATCGGATGCCATTGGCGAGGCGCGTCCGATCTTCGGATCTAAATGTCGACTTGGAATCAAAACAGGCAATATAACTTGATTATGAATCAATCTTATTTTTAAATGATTTGAAGAAAAATTTCCAATAAATGTGGTTTCTCAATTGAATAATAAATGCCAACTTACCAAGAGCGAGCAAACACCACAAAAGTATCGCAGCACTTTTCATTTTGATGTGATCTGCTGGACAGAGTCAATATTTGCTCCTTGGCTGCCCAAAGGAGAAAACAAAAAAAGTGAAAAATCGCCTGCGATCGGATGTGCGTTCGGCGAAATAGGAGGAATAATGCCAGGCGACAACACAAGCGCGAATGTGACCCCTTAGCGGACCCAGTGGGCCTTATATGCTTCCCCACTCGTTGCGCGCCTGCTTATTCTCTCTCTTTCTTGCGCTTCACGTCTATACACGCTGTAATCCTGAACAATGTTTGCCTGCTTATTTTGTAATGTGTGTAAGTTCGCTCTAGTGCAGGCGCTATTTGTTGCTACATTTGAGCGCATAAACGAGCAATTTGTGTGTGAATCAGTCCTACCAATGGGTTTATTTTACGGAAGAGATGTACCGTTGCAACAACTAATATTTCGGTTACTAGTTTATTCCTAGTTCAACTGTGGCATTGAGATTTGACAATAAAGAAATATCCAGAGGATAATATCGTCCCAACTATATTTTATTTCAAAAGCTATTTTGTTTCACTTTTGCCCTCGAATTTAAAATAATACATCGTCAAAGGGGCGACATTACGTAATTGCAAGCACTACAATCTCTGATCATAAAAACTAATTTAAATGATAAAAGTAAGTACCAAATGATACACTTATATCTCAAAAAAATAAATCATGAGCTTTTCATAAAGATCGATTGTATTCTTTTCATAAAAAATAGACTAAAATAACATGAATAATATTTTGCAAGATATTTTTATGGCTTACAAAGTAAATAACTCTTAATAGAGTTATTATAATTCAAATTTTTAACTCTCTTGAATTTCATCACTGCCAATAACAAATGAATTAAAAGAAAATTTTCTTTTTCTAAGTTAAGGTTTAATCATGTAGACTGAAAACAGTTTTATTTATTAATCGCACGCAAAAGAAATGTTAGCGCCAACAAATTTTGTCTGGCTGCTAAATTCTAAGTGGCTCGACAAGTTTCAAACTGCAATCGCATAAAATTTTATCTGTGGTCAAGTTTGCGTTTTACACATTCCTCCTTATGAATACATAAATCTAATGCAAAGAAAAGATTAGGGAGTTCGTTGATCTATTCGATAAAAACATATTTTTTTAAATTATAACCAGAATATTCGTGTAAATGTTAGTCACCTGCTAAGCGATTGTCGAATTGCATGCCTAAATCGTGACGAATGAATGAAAACCCAATTTTTAAAAAAACATTAAAATAAACGCGTCGAGACTTTGCACTTGCAATAGAAAATACAGAAAAGCAAGTGCGAAAATGTTTTTGAATTGGAAGGGGAAAACTACTCGCTACTCGCAAGTAGTAGTTTCGCTCCGTGAACTTTTTTCGAGCTTAGTTTTGTGAAACGCCATTCGCGGTCAAATTTAACAATCGAGCTTATAGTTAAACTCGAAGCAACTTTAATATGACGGTAAGATAAATTGATTTTTATTAAAAAACTGTATAATAATAATTTGCCTGTGAATTGTTGTCATGTATAGTCATTTGTTTTACAGTCAAGTTTAAGATATACCTTCAGAGGCTTGGTGGTGCCTGTATTTACACATTTTAGAAATAACAGGTAATATGCAAAAGTTATAAGCTATTGAATTGCAACAGACAAAGTATAAACATTTCATAAGAACCGAAATTAGGTGTTACTCGGGTGTGCCTAAATAAATATTTATAAATGTTGTGCCTTGATAACTTCAAGTACCTTTTACGATCATTTCAGCGAACGGTCAATCAATCTGTCCTTAATTTCAGTATATTCCGATTATCTGAAGTCAAAAAATTTTAGCAGTGTCGTTGGTATGTGAATTATAGACAAAAAATCATATAATTTCTACAGTAAAAAAATTGAATTGTTTAGTCAATGATACGATCAGCGAGTCGGCGACAATGTCAGTTAAAGAGAGAAAAAAATCGCCGAGGCCTGGTCCAATGCAGCTAAAAGAAACAATCAGCACTTGATCGTACAAGTTTGAGGAGCCACTTTGCCCGATGTTGTAGATCTTGTACGTGAGTTCGCCATTTCCTTCGATTTAAAATCATTCGATCGTAATATTCCATAGTTATAAAAAACTTGCAGGCCAAACATGCTCAGCTTCTGAAAGTAAATGGCATTCTGTGCTCTCTGGCGCCGAGCGGCGAACAAAGAAAAATATCAGATGTAATTCAATATTTAGCAAAATTCGCTGAGTCTGCACCAGAAACGTCGGTGCTGTATTATTATTCTCCAGAAGTGACTAAAAGTCCGTGCACGTACATTCTCGCATTTTTAATGATTTTTCGTCAATCGATTCTTTTGGCCATAAATGCAAAATTTTTTAAATTCCAGTAAGTACGGAGAAGCTGCTCAAATTAGCCGACGAGCGCATCCCGAATTTTGCTGGTATCAAGTTCGCCAGTACAAATTTAAACGAAGGCTTACAGGCATCGCAATTTAAAGATGGTAAATTCGTCGTTTTTTTCAATGACAATATTAAGGTATATTTAAATGCTCAAGGCTATATATAAATTGACATCTTCTCGTAGCCATAACGATACGATGTTTTTCCTCTTCCGCAGTTAAGATCAGAGGCAAGCTCGAGAGGTTTCAATTCCTTTATGACGAGCAGCGCTAATTTATTTCCTGAGACTTTTCAATCGATCATCGAGTTCGGCAAAAACGGCGATCGCGCAAAGGTAAAAAAGCTGCAAAAACGATTCTCACAAGCCTTTGTAAATCGACTGCAATTAAATTGGGTGAGGCAATTCCATGTGAAAATTATATCTTCAATTTTTTTCTGCGAGGTACTTCACAAACAGCGATTGATCTTTTAATGCGATATTTTTTTATCTCAGGTAATTCACTAAACACTATGAAGACTACAATGTCTTGTTTAAGCTTGATTCCTTTTGGTCCGACTCGGGCGAAAATGGATACACGAAAAGGAGCCTCGATTTTATTCAATTGAAATGTAAACTCTATTTTTTTATTTTAAAATAAATTTATAAATTAATAATAATCCGTAAATATTTTGCAAACAGTATAATTTTTTATGTAAAATAACCCTCAATTGTCCGAATAAAAAACCGTATTAATTCATTAAAACTTTAAAAAACTACTGTATGAATTAAATTCAACCCGTTGTTGTTAAGATACTTCAATTGACATTTAGCTCCGTCTGATATTTTTGACATGAATTGAGTTGCAGGCTTGAGTTTCAGTCTCAAAATCATTATGATAGGATTTCGAAATTTTGCTGAACGACGTTTTGAGCACTATAATTGATGTTATCATTAGCATAAGAGATTCTGATGGCAAGTCGTAATCATGATACAAATGATTACAAATAATTACATAATTTGAATTTATTGACAGATTAAAACGCAGCTCTAGTGTGCCGTTACTTGTACGAGTGAAGCATTAAATATGTTTAACGAAAATGAAACTTTTTGCGAGCTTATTATTTGATGACAGGTCTTGAGATCATCACCTGATCATTTGAGTTAATAAAATTTTTTTTGCTACATCACAAATATAGCGCGCATCACTCATAGAAGTATCCACTTTGAAAAAATGGCCAAAAACGACAAATGTTTTCAATATGAATTTTGAGCTCATAAAAAAATCATGAGAGGGATATCATTGTAATACAGTGAAAGCTCTTTATAGCAGATACACTAATTGGCGCACGCAATGAACACAAATAAAAAAGAATGAAAAGTAAATAAAATAAAAAAAACATAAAAGTGTTGAATTTGAAAAATGTTGAAGTTTTTACAGATACAAAACTCTTGCTTTGAATAAAAAAAGTGCAATAATAATTGTAAAAGTAAATTTTGAAGAAATGCGCGTAATCGAGCAGCATCGAAGAGCTGAAAGCTCTATCTGTTATCAGGAACGCGAGGCCGCAGTGGTATAGGTGTGTACTCGCGCCTCGTATACCGAGACTGCGCATTCCAACTTGGCATCTCCCTCTATGTACCGTGCGAAACAGCTGATGAGTCTTTTAGGGGTCAGTCTTCCATGAGCCAATCTTTATTCATGCCAATCGACTGTTCGCTTCGTGCGATTCAATTTACGCACTGCACGAGTGTATACGAGATTATTGCATGTAGACTTCATGATTGTCAAAATCGGTCGAGTTTCTTGTAAAGTTCATGGTTCTTTCTCGACGGTAAATTAGTTTTGGCAGCGATATCGCATATGCCAAAATAACAATTGGAAAGTTCGTAATTCGTAGGCTGTGCAGTATAGACCGATGCAGTGATACGTTCCGATAAGATAGTCAGAAAATTGTATGCAGTAAAATGGCTGTGAGTTTTTAAATTACGAAATTATCCTCTCTTTGAGCCTTTCTCGCTTCTATTGAAATGTCGTTGTTTGACGCTGAACAGGAGGCTCTGTACAGATTGAACTATTCGTTCAAAGGCTTGGTCGTGCCAGTGTTTACACCTTTTAACGACGATGGGTAGGCACAAATCTATTATTAACAATCGCACCGATTACAAATGCATGATGCTTGATCGATGTTTATTTTTATAATCCGTACTCGCTCTTCTCTCAGCACAAATTCATTGAACTTGTCGGTGATCCCATACTACGCAGAGTACCTCAAGGTCAACAATGTACGAGGAGTATTGAGTAAGTCGTAGCGAAGAAATAAAATTAATTAAAAATTGAGCGATTTGCTGGGGTATTTGCTCGATACGATAAGCAATGTCTTGTGTGCATGTTATTGTGTGCAGTAAACGGCACGGTGGCCGAGGGACTGACCATGACGGTCGAGGAGCGAAAGATCTTGGCCGAAGCTTGGATGGAAGAGTCGAAGAGGAACGGCTTCCACCTGATCATCCAAGTCGGCGGAGTCTGCCTGACGGAAGTTCGCAAGCTCGTGAGTATAGTCGCGAGTATCGATTGGCCTGCAACAGGTACGCATATATACATGTCAATTTTGTCTGTTTTTGCGCAATTTTTCTTCCGGCCCGGACTCACGATTGGCCGCGACCACGACGTCTATGTACTACGCGTCGATATAGGCGATGCACGCCGAGTCGATCGGTGCGGACGCGATACTCTGCCTGCCGGACATCTACTATAGACCCAACTCGGTGACCGAGCTCGTCGAGTACCTGCGGGAGGTGAGCGCGAGCGCACCCAAGACGCCCCTGCTCTACTACCACGACAACGTCATGCCCAAAGTCTCGAGTGAGTTGACCTTATAATTGAGCTTTTTCTCCTCTAACTCGGCCCGATGATTTTTCGTAGCGATTAACATTGGCAAGTTCCTCGAGTCGGTGAACAATCGCATCCCCACCCTGGTCGGAGTCAAGTTCACCGTCTCCACCCACTTGGACGACGTGGCTCGAGCCGTCAAGGCCGCCGACGGACGTTTCACCTTATTCTACGGAAGTAATCAGGTAATCGGAGGTTGCCAAGCCGAAAGACTACTATACCTATACTAACGGCGAGCTCATTTTTGCTTATGTTGCTCGCAGATCATACCGTCCGTCATTGCTTTGGGCGTCGAGGGCTACATGGCCTACATATCAAACTTGTACCCGGAAGAGATCCAGAGGATCATAAGCACGTCGCAGGGAGGCGACATCAAAGTCGCCAGAACGACGCACAACATGCTCATGAAAGTCTTTGACGGCTTCAACGCAACAGGTAGGCCTATATTGTACTCGTTCGTCCGGTAATTATTTTTTTCATTCAAAAAATTCAATTACTCAATTGGGATTTATTTCGTCGATCGCTGGATGGTCAAGGTTGCCCCATAGCCGCGATGAAGGCCGCCATGCCGATCCTCAAGGGCCTCGATCTGGGCCCGTGTCGCAAGCCCCTGCCGTCGTTCTGCAAGGAGGAGCACCGGGAGCAACTGCGCCAGGCTCTGGCCGACCTGAAGATTTGAATGGCTCGATGATGTGCAACCTCGCAACCCGTTACCAATGTCAATCATATGTTCCCTCAGACTTCCGCCAATGTACTATGTATTCCGTTGTCAATACCACTGACGAAACAATTAAATGGCACAACATATGTATGCAGCTTATAACGAGCCTCTTTTCTCACTGCAACGAATCGAATGTCCAGTTCTCCTTTCCTGTTTATTAAAGGGCGGCAGTGCGCTTTAAGCCAATTTTAAGCTTCTGCGTGGCTGACGGCCGAGCTCGGGGCTGCTGACGCGCGAGTCACCCGAATTGGCCTGATCCCCCAGTAATTCCGCCTAATGAGCCTGTCCCGAGCGCCATCGGCCGTAGGCGTCCAAAAGCTGCGTCGATTCGTGCGTAGCTGCAGCGATGCGCCATCTGCGGCCTGCGTCCTGTACCAAGGCTGGGATCAATAGCTGCTCGAGTGGCGCCGCCGCCGGTTCGACTCCAGCGTATCATCATCATAATAATATGCCACGAACGATTCACGAACTACGGGATTGGAGCATAGGCAGCGATCAGCGCCATCTACGCAACGCCGCGCGACTACCCAAACTATTCGCGCAGTATCAAACTCGAGTCTTTGCACCGAGCTGCATGGATATATAGAGTAATGATCGACGTGGCGCATACAGTGCCGCCGCCACTCGGTTTGCTATATATCGCGTCCCGTGCATGGTGGCGGCCTCCAACAACTACGAGCTTCGAATTTTGTCCGTAGCTCGCGAGCTACGTGCCTCGTCCTATATACCGTATGGCGTTCCGTTCGTCGTTGTATAGACGCCCGCCCGGCTACTCGGCACTGCCACAGTGGCAGCGGCTATTACTTCCTACAACACATGCACTCTATACTCGTGATGATACATTTGTACATTATATCATGCAACGCTGCCACGCCACCATTTTCTTATCGTTACCATGCGAGGTTGCTCGTCGCCGCTCGAGAGCTGGCCGACACCGTTGCTGCTCGCTCCCTAGCCTGTATGTAGCGGCTGTAGCTGATTTCACCAAGCGAGCACACGGCTCGAGCTAAGCGAGGCGTTGCCGCCGCTGCTGATCATCGCCCGCGCACAGAAACACTTACGGAGTCCGCATTTTCTGGTTCTCGTATAGCGTTATATCTTTTGGCGTCGCTCCGAACTTGCGAGTCGGCGAGTCGCGTCGAGTCCCTGCCTATAGCAGCGCCATTGCCTGCCCGCCGCCGACTTAGCGTGCACACATACGTTCGTACCTTGGTCGTGCTCTAGCCAAAACTATCCTATACGCCACTGAGAATCGCGAGTCTGCGAACTCGCTGACCGAGTCTCGAGTCCGCTATACCGTGACTGCTGTGCGGCTTGTCGTGTTTTCACCGCACACACTGTTGTGCTTTTGCTTTGACTCGAAATTACTCTAGTGAACTCGTTGTTTCCTACGACTACGCTTGCCCATTGACATCGGCGCCTCTGCTCCTGCTGTGCTTCGTGCGAAATAACAAGTTCATTTTCTACTGGTGCGGCGTACCTGATAGCAAGCTTTGCAGGCCTCTGATACTGCCCGCTTCTCTCTCTCGCTATATTTTTTTCCGGCATCTCAACCAACATGGAGACTACCAGACCGGCAACCTTGAGATCTCGACGGATCTGTCGATTTTGTTTGGTTGAAAATGATTCGCTGACCTTCATCCACGACCGGGAGGTTGGACGTTCGTTCCAGGTCCCATTGCCGCTTCAAATCATGTCCTGTGTCTCTGTCGAGGTAATCATATTAAAACATTCTTAACTTTCTCTTTAACTCTTGCTATTATTTTATTATTATTTTTATCACTTTTATTGATAAATTCTACGTCTTACAAAATTCTATTTTGAACAGTGTATATTTTTGGCAGAGCATAAGCATTAATGAATAATGTTATATTAATAAATATGTTTTTACTATTAAAATTAAAATCTTTTGCCTAATTATTCAATGATCTATAATAAATACATCGAACCTTAAAACTATTGACTCCTACTTTACTGTCTGTAAATCTGTAATTAAGAAGCATAATATGTGTCCTCATGACATATTTAATAATAAGAAAATTATACAATTTCACTTGTAATGATAATTAACTGTATTTAGTTCACAAATTAGATCAAAGATAGTCTATGACATCTAATATTGAATTGAAGTATGAGATATAATTGTTAACGCATAATATTGCGATCCATTAGTCAGTGAAAAATCAGTCTTTCAAACAAGTTTTTTAAAACTTCTGCTAAATATTGGATTTCAGGCTAAGTTTTGAATCCTATTGTACAGGGAATTTTATATGATTGTAAAAACGTATCAGTAGGAAATTGAAAAAAATTTCTGTAACAGAAACTAAAATGAAATGAACTTTTAATTAAATTTTAGGTATACTCTGCTGATGGAATGCCACAAATGGTTTGCAGTAATTGTAGATCTAATTTAGATAGATGCTACAGATTTAAGCAGCAATGCAAAAAAGCTGATGAAGCTTTACGAGCTTATCCAACATCAGGAGTGCTTCCAAGACCCTTTGCTCCTATAACAGATAATATAGAAACAGGCAACAAAAGACCTGCTTCATCTACTAATGATTCATCAAAGAAAGCTCGATTGGACAATGGTGAAAGACAAGGTATTTACAAAAATAATATTAATGTTATTAATCCATGCTTATTTTAAAACTTATAAAATTTATTTAGTTGTGCAACGTCAAATTGAAATCAAGCAGTCACAATCGCAACAGCAACAGCAGCAGCAGCAGCAGCAACAACAGCAACAGGATCATCAAGAAATATATGAAGAAGACCAAGAAATGAGTGAAGGAGAGCAAGAAATGAATTCCACCCAAGAAAATTTGAAATTAGAACCTGGCGAGATACGTGTCCATGCTTGCAATCTGTGCGATCGTACCTTCCCATTGCTTCAGTCTTTGCAAGTGCATAAATTAACTTCTCACCGTGATCGCAATTTTAAATGTACTGAATGTGATCGTATGTTCTTTTCTAAATATGATTTAAACAAACATATGGCTACTCATGCTGAAGATAAACCTTATTCATGTCAAATTTGCAATAAATCGTTTACGCGCGCTAACTTATTGCAAAGGCATGAAAAAATGCATAGAGATGAACTAAGATATGGTTGTGCTCATTGCGATAGAGAATTTTTCACTACTGAAGAGCTTGAAAAGCATGAAGAAGCTGCTCACAGTTCTGTCAAGCCTTTCCAATGCAATATTTGCAACAAGAGATTTACCTACAAGCAAGGTAAAATATCGATATAATTTTACTTGATTATTCACCATATTTATTACTTTTATTTGAATTAATAAATATTTTTTTATCAGGCTTGGAACGTCATGAAATGCTTCACAATGAAGATAAATCTTTCTCATGTGAATACTGCAAAGAAGCTTTTCGTACTTCCACAAAGCTTGCTCGTCATCTTCAAACTCATGCTGGCCATCGACCTTATCTGTGCAAACAATGTCCTCGTACGTTCTTATTGTCCCATCACTTGACACGTCATATGCGCACTCACGACATAGAAAAAACTCATCAATGCGAAGAATGTGACAAGTCTTTTAAACGTAAAGAGTCCCTCGAAGTTCATCAACTTACGCATATGAAGCGCACTGGAATGGCTTTAACTTGCGATGTTTGTGGCGAGTCATGTCGAAACCGAGCAGATTATGTGACCCATATTAAGCAGCATATCGAAGCTGGTGAGAAAATGGGTCCTGATGGATTATCAACTAGCAAGGATAAAACAGGTGAAACCGATACTGAAGAAGAAGAAGAGGAGGAGGAGGAGGAGGAAGCTTATTCAGACGGTGATGATGATTACAAGCCACCTTATGCCGTTAAACGGAATGTTCAGAAAACACTGAAAAGAGATGGTGATGATGTAGAAGATCGTGTAGTTTATGTACGTAGCAAAGATGGTTCAATGGTGAAAAAAACTATCAAAACTCTGATGCCGATTACCAGAAGGAGTGAAGCACATGTCAATCAACAGCAAGTAAAACAACAAGTTTCAAGCTCACAGCTTGTCAAACAATCAAAACAAGAGGATATTCAACAGAAGGGTAGGTTTGATGACACTGAGGCACAGGTGCAGAAAATCGTTGCTTCTGTGTTCAAGGAGCACAAGATACCGCTTAAGAATCAAGGTTCGTTAGATTTTTACGATGTGGTATACATATCTTGTCTTGTCGTTGATTCTTCAGTTTTGGTATCTCTTTTATTTAGATTTTATAGTTCTTTTATAGATTTCTTTAATTTTATAGAACATAATTAGTTTTGGTTCTTTATATTTGCTAGTTATTTTTGGAAGTTTTACTATTTACATAAAATTTAAGTGAGTTTAAGGGTGTCTTTTAAAAAAAAGAAAACTAATTACATAATATCCCTATTGACAGTTGACCAAGTCAAGGAAACGGTGACTGTAAAACAATCATCTTCCCAACCAGCAGCACCTCAAATTATCAAAGAAGAAAAACTCGATCCTGCAACTATTACGCTTGGAAAAAATGCTAGAGTAATTAAAAGAATCATAGTGCGCAAACCTTTGGGCGATGGTGGTGTAATCACTGGACCTATACGCGATTTGGTTCCTGATCCACCTGCACAAGCACCAGCCCCAGTAGCTTCTGCAACCGCTGCACCAGTCAAGGTATGAGATGAATATTTTCATTTTTAAATATCAATAACAGTGCAAATTTAATGATAATTGTTTTTTTATTTAGTCTACTAAACGCGTAATTGTACGCAGAATTATACGACAAGGCGATACAATGCGTGAAGTCATTATGAATCCAGATGGCACTGTGATAGATCCAGCTGAATTAGCGAAATTACCAACGGGCAACGTTGTTAAGCGTGTTGTAGTGAAAAAACCTAGAGATAAAGTTGGCAATATCGAACAAATGTTACAGAATGTTGACGCTAAGCGAATTATAAGTTTAGCTGAAAGAGTTGAAGATATGGCTAACAATCAAAGCTCAACAACTGTTCAGCAAATATCTAAAATCGAGACCCGTGTTCAGGCTAAACAGCAGTTATTAAAACAACAGCAAAAACAACAATTACAATTACAACAAAAACAAAAGGCAATTGAAGATCACGATACAAAGCAGAAACTTGAACAATTAGAAAAACGAGTTGAACAGCAGCGTCTAAAAATTGAAGAGCTTCAAGCTCGCAAGCAGCAAGAGTACGAAGGAGACGATATGCTTCCAGAACGTCACGATGAATCCGAAGATGAACAACAGTTGCCTCTTAAACGTGTTTTCGTTAAAAGAAACAAAAGTATCTATGATGAAGAACGCGAATACAGCGACGACAAGGAACAATCCGAAAGTAATGATCATCAAAAACGACAAATTTCTCGTCAAGCTAGCAAAGAAGAAGATGAAAATCAAGAACAAGAACAAGAACATGAACCAGAACCAGAACCAGAACAAGTAAGCAGTTCGCCCCTTGATGATTCTAAATGCGCTGAAATGAAGGCTGAAGAGTATGATCAGGAAGAAGAAATGGGACGAGAGCTTTGTACAATTCTTGAGTCTACTGACGCCGTCAGTAAAATGCAAGAAAATGTCTTAAACAATCTTCAAGAAATAACCCAAGTAGATACTACTCAGGGTCAGATTGAAGTTTGTGCTGAGGAACAAAAAGTTGAGGATACGTCCGTTGTATCCGCGACCGAAGAAGAACCTGAAGAGCAGATGGACGTTTCTACTGGTGAAAATGAACAAGATCGGGAACAGGTGAACAATTAACACCGAGATGATACTTTGACTTTTTACCTTTTTATGTAAGGTAAAGTGTTTGAATATTTTTTCTGGACTTCTGAGCACAAAGCATATCATTTCATCAATTTATTTTGGTTGGTTGTAACTGTGAATCACTTAATTATATTTTATGCATTTTCATAAATATCTGTAAGTGTCCGAGAAAAAATACTGAAACACATGGGTATTTACTGATATCATTTCACATCTTTTATCAATCATTTAATTTATTACTTGAGTATAGCAAATTAATGATAATTATATTCTCAAATCATTAAAGGTTGAAGTTGAAATGAATGGTCAGCAGCAAGAAGACGGCACTATTCTGGTTATAACTCAACCGGATGGAGCCGAAGTAAAAATACAACTTCAAGAACAAGAACAGCAGGGGGCTGACTTGACTGAAGTTCAAGACGATGATGGAAATATCATATTCGGTAACTCAGACGCAGGTATGGAAGCTGAAAAAAATGAAAACGATCAGTCACAGCTGCAAGGAGCTGTGATAACATTATCCAGTAATAATGAAAGTATCAGACACACCGAACACGACGATAGCAGTAGGGATAGTTTAGAGGCTAAACTTTCACAGATGGAGGGCTAATTATGACCACTGTTACATTTATAACTAAATTGTAGATTATCATAAATATAATAAGGGATGGACTGCTTTATTGATGCGATATTTTTCATTTACTATCATACTATTTATTGAAAGTTCGCATACTAACCTTTGATCTATAAGATTACGTACCAGCTCAATTTCATATCTGCTATTCAAACCCTATCAGTTTTCCAAAGTTTGTTGCTAAGATGTATGTTAATTTAACGCTCATATGTGAATACGTTTAAAATGAAAATGTAGGTACTCTAAAAAATGTTTGCATTGTTTTCTTAATGCTTAGATCTTTTAGTTGAATGTAACCTTTCAAAATATTTTCATTTTAAATAACTTATTCGTAATAAGAGGTTCAAGAATTGGCATACATTTTTAAAATTAAAATATTGATGCATCAATTGCTGTGAAAAATAACAGTAGATGGAAAATTATTTGTTCCAGCATCAAATTTATTACATAAGTACTTGTGGAATGGCGATTGCTGGTTGTTTCAACTATGATTACTTATATTTACTATGATTCTGCCAAAGTTTTATGGAGCATGGGTTAAGTGACGTATGAATTAAAATTGTTTGAAAATATATAGGACTATATAAATTACTTTTTTTACCAAGTTTTCCAATCATGCGCATAACAGTCGATTAAGCTATTTCGAATACTGTAAATAACGGACCATTCCCTTGAAATGAATTTTATATTAGAATGTTAATCGTCTACTGTAATTGTAAGTATCAATTAAATTATAAATAAAGGAAAATACAATTGACTTATAACAAGAACTTTAAACTAATCTTTTTGAAAAGTTATAAAGGTGAACATTTGTATATGAAAAATTGGGAACATTGAATGAAAATACGTAACTGTTACGTATTATTCGCCAAGTTTTTGATCAGATATGACTTTTTAAAAAATTTTTATGCTTTACAATTATAGAAAAATCTTTGAACCTACCCATTATCATGTGTACTGTATCGGTATAAGATTTTATTTAAACAATTATGAATTAGATTGTGAATAGTGAGTTCGAATGAGGGTTCGATTAGAATAAAATTGACTATTTATTTAACTCTATGTAAAACAGCTATCATGTACAAAGGAAATAAATACATCTATTTATGAAAATAAATAAAATGTAATGAAAAGTATAGTCGATGTTTTTATTTATCCCATGATTTTGTGATTGTGCAATTTTAACACATCTAAATACTTGTTTGAATTCACATTACCATGAGCGATACCATTCATTCAATAAATAAAACAAAAAAATAATATTTCCTAAATGGATGCCTATCTTTCATTCTCGGGTGCCGTTACCAGAAATTAATTTATTGAACTTTTTCAGTAGTAAACAAATTTAGATATTATAATTGAAATAAATAGATTTTTCAGTTAATTTATTCTGGATTTATACTAAAAAGAAAAAAGAGCGTTTGCTATTTATTATTGAGCAGCTTTTCAAAAATTGGAAATTATTTTTAACTTCAATTTTCTCTTTAATTATTACTCGTTAATTAAAAAACATTAGTACAATGACGAAATGAAAAAAAGCTGTGCAATAGCTTTCTTTTGCGTTTCGACTTTAAAGTATAGCATGCATCTGGGGAGAGAAGTCGATTACAAATAGTAATATTAAATAGTTCAATACAAACACTTTTTCCTAGAAAAATGTTTTTATTTGAAATTTTTACATAAAATAGAGAAAATATTAGTATTACTACATTTTTGGATACCATTTTCATTTTCAGGTACAGTCGATTACAATGGTTTTAGTACAGTGTACAGGCAGAATAAGAACTCATACTATATTATTTAAGACTAAATTAATTATTATGTGATATAATTTTTGCAGAAAGTTTTACTAACTCTTCAAGTCACGTAAGTTTTAAAGTAATATCATCAACGAGTAGATAAAATCTGAAATCGCACTTTATTCGTTTATGATATTTATTTGTGAAAAAAACTAAAATTCTACTATTAAAATTAATACTTGTTCATTAACTTATAACGATGGATACATAATTTTTTTTGCGTTGAGATAAAAGAAGTTGAGCATGTATGACAAAATTAAGCGTAAAACTCGGCAAGTAGTTTAACAATTTTTTTTATTCAAAAAATTAAGATTCCTACAAAGTTATTTGAAATTTGTGAAAAATGCTCATCCGTTGTACCAGTTGCGAAGAAAAAAAAGTTATTCGGGTAAAAAGATTTTTTACCGCAGCAATCACGTGCTTTTACAGCTACGCCGATTTGGCTTTCTGCAGGCACAAATTACACATGTACGCGTACAATTCAATTCATTGAATTTCGAACAACAACAACGAAAAAAAGTAAACTATCCATCCAAATATTCACAAGAGCATAAAAAGTACTTATATCCATCTCGGTAAAATCACACTCATTATATATTTTGTGCAAGAATTTCGGGCACAAGAGAGAGATCACTGCACTCACGCTCGGTATTTTTTTTGCTCTCTTCTCATTCGCAAAAATCGCCCTCTCATTACACGTCGTTTTCTTAACTCATTCTTGGTTCTGGCATGACTTTCTCAAAATAAAGGATCGAATTAAAAAAAAAGCAAATAAGTTGAGCGAGCTGCAGTATTACTTATATAAAAAGATGCGTGAATTCGTTTCAAATGGGCTGAGCTCCCTTCCTGCTGGTGAGTTGCTGGAGCTGCAAAACATAACGGACATGGGTGATGATGTTGTACTTGTTGTTGATGATGGTGATGATGAACTATTCTTTTTTATATATTTTTTTATTTGTGTTATTAATGCCCTCAAGCCGCAACGACTTGACGTTTATATGCTTTTTTACTTTGCACTCGGCATCACGCATGATATTTATTTGTCGTAATTTCATCAACGCATTTACGTATAGAACAGTTGGATCTAACATTTTTGCGCTTCGCTTCACTCAGACAGTTCTCTATACAGTATATAACGCACACTATTACAAGCCGCCCCGGCCGCTGTCTATGTACTCGAACCGCTGTGAGGGCAGACATGAAAAATTTTTTTGTGGTCAAGTTTCAATTATTTCCCGCTAACAAGTGTAATTACTCGCTTTTTCTTAAGAGTTTGCAATAAAAGCCAAGTTAATCCAGGACTTTGGTAGTCAAGCAATTATATTAATATTTTTTTTTTTTTTTTGTATTTTAGTTCACTCATATGCAATTAGCCCGTTGTTGGCTGGCACGCCGTATCCAAAGTTACAAGGTAACATTTTGCAAAATTGCACGTTAGTATATGGCGAGTTTGATTTCCACGTTGAGCCGCAGATAAACAAAGCCGCGTACACAGCATATTATACACACTCAGAAATTAATCGCACGCCCACACAGCAATAATGTGTACTTAATGATTAATGAGTATTATTTTTTTATTTCATTTACGTTATGCATATTATGTGAAATGATTTGAGCCGATGCACAGTAAAAAACGTCAGGTTCTTTCATTAGTTTTACAATTTTTTTTCATGAATATTTTCATCGAGCGGCTGATGTATGCATGAAAGTTTCATCGCGTCGATCAGACGGTGATGTAAAGTATAGAATAAATCTTTTTCAATGGTAAACGAGATATTACTACTACATCGGTATTCGTTATAATATATATAATCAACACAAAGTGGAATCGACGAACAAGAATGTTTATGATTAATCTACGGCTTATAAATCTTATACTCGTGATAAAAATTCAGTCTAATTAAAAAATCACTGATTACTACTGTACTGCGTAGAATAATAATCATCGTCATCTCGATTTGTCTATCGAATCGTGTGCATGCAAGCGTGAAAATGAATTATTTTATTTGCCGAAGAACAACTTGGTTGTCATGGCATTTTTAAAGTTCCCCGCTCCGACAGCGATGCTTGGCTCCTATATATAGAAAATGCATTACTTCGTTAAGACAAAAAAAAGAGGCTAAATGATAACGTATAATCGCGTAATTAAGCCGCGTCGTCATTTTTACTGCACATCCCCGAGGTTAAGGTTGGAAATTTTGAATTACATTCGAGAGATCGCGATCAAATGAAATGAAGAGAGGGGGCGAATGCAAATGTTGCTTTGTCAATTTACCTCCTTCTCGTCGGTCGGCACGGTGTTGTAAGATCTGTCGCTGGGCTTCGCTGGTCCGGTCACGTGGGTGTAGATGAGCGAGGCGACGACACCGCCGAGAATCGGCCCGACCCAGTACAGCCAGTGGTCGTCGTATTTGGCCGTGACCACCGCCGAGCCGAGTGCTCTGGCCGGATTCATGCCCGTGTTGGTGCGTGGGATCTGCAAAATTAGCTCCGTGTTTTTATAAATGTCGCTTTCGAGCCGATCTCACGCGGGCCCGTGCGGATAAATTCCCAAGGCAATTTTATGGCCGCGAGCGATAAAGTCGCGCGACGTCTCCTTTGGATCGGTGCCAAGTACAAATTTCAGCGCGTCGGTGGATTCTAAAGAGAGAAATCGTAAAAGAGAGAAAGAAAAAACTTACGCCTACGATGTGGCCAATGGCGACCGCGAGTCCAATGATGAGCGGAGCAAGAGGCTTGGATTCGGGTTTGTTGGGGTCACAAGCGCCGCACACTACGAAGACCAGAATGAAGGCGAGGAAGAACTCGACTCCGAAGCCCTGGACCGGCGTAGTGTTGTTTTTCAGCAGCACCTCACCGAGGCTCTGTTCGCTGGGCGAAAGGGCGAGCAGTACGGTCGAGCCGGCGATAGCTCCGGCGCATTGCACCAGCACGTAGAGCAGCGCTCGAATCACCGAGATCTGCATCGAGCAATTCATAAGAGTCGCGTCAGTTTTAGGCCCAACAGAGAAGAGTCTGTTTTTTTGAGTACTGTACCTTGCCGATGGCCAAAAGGCCGAAGGTGACGGCCGGGTTGACGTGACCTCCGGATACGTGTCCGATGGCTTGTATGACGGCGGCCACCGTCAGGCCGAAGGACAGACTGACGGCGACGATGTTGCCCGTGATGGCCGATCCGCAGCCGAAGAAGTTGAGCAGGCCCGTGCCGAGGAACTCGGCCACCAGTGCTCGCCATATGCCGGAGCTTTTGTCCGTCAACTCTTGCAGTCCTATCGCGTTTCGCAGGCTCGGCATTTTTTCTGCAATCGAGGACATAAACTTTATTTTGCAAAAGGTTATATTTACATATAGGAGGAACGTCGCGTTGCGCAAGAAAAGCGTAGTGGGACACGTGGTAACTGGTAGTATTTCTGCCGATGGCTTTTTGTTTTGTTTATTCGCATTTTACTGGAGCGACGATGAGCGATAAAAATCTCGGCGTTTTTCAATCTCTCGAGGCAATAAAAACATCTGCAGCTGTAGGTAAGTAATACGGCCGGCTTTCGCGTGTGATTCGTCATATCGCGCGAACGTCTGCGAGTATGTATACGTTTTATACACATAGAAAGGCTTCAAAAATTCAGCATCTCGTAGATATACAGCTGTTTCCCGCGAGCAAAAGCTGGAAAGCGCGTCTCTGCATATTATATATAGGCGTCACGAGTAAACGCCGCAGACAATAAACCCTGACACGATTCCTTCAGTTTTGCGCTCGAGCACACGTATACAACATACAGAGTCGGCTTATAGGTGTATACGTACATAGCGAAACGACAACGAACGAAGTAACGGAGAAAAAGAGAGGATAAAAAAATACCCGAAGGCGGCCGTGTGGCAGCTCCTCGCGTGAGCGTGCACACGGGGAGAAAAGAATATAGCTCGCGCGCCGCGTTCGACTTTTATCGCTCGCATCTGGTTTTTCGTGCGCGCGTAAACTCATTTTACAACTCGAAATCTTATCGAGCCGAGAGGCTCCGGAGGCTGCAGTGCAGCGGTGCTCGCGAGCGCACTCGGCAACGGCTGCTGTCGTTCCGCGCCGATCGAACCACGTAAATCGCATCTAGCTCATCGGATGCAATTGTCGCCCTTACGGACACGCGACGCGCGCGAGACACGTAGCACAGAGATAGATTAAACTGGAGTACTAGGAAGCGGTGCATTACCGACGCGTATAGAGCCTAACGCAGGAAACGTCGATTTATTCAAATGAGCTTTTCATAATCGCTGCCGCACGCGCACTACTCGCCTACATCGACTGCTCCACCGAGTAATATATGCGCGTGCATGTGTGTGAGCGTATGTACGCGTTCGTGCACGTGTATACCTATGCATCTTTCATGTTTTTTTGTTCCCTGAGCAGTTTTAAAGATGTACCGTTGGGACGAGCGCCGCCTGATGCGCTATATATCTTTTTCAACATCGAGACTCGAGCCGCCGCTCGCGCTGCTCCTCGTTCCGTTCGTGGAAAAATGCTCCTCTCGCTGCCGAGAGAGAAGGTAAAAAAAAAACGAGGCACAAAAAAAGTAGGTAGAGTAAAAAAGAAAAAAATTAAAAGCCGGGCGCGCTCGTAATAACTGTTGCTGCGCTGCACTAGAGCTGCTCTCGAGCCTCTCGCGTCGTAAAAACGTCTCCTTTCGACTGTGCAATGGATATCGCGATTCGCGACTGCAATAATAATCATATCTAGATCAGTGTCACTGCTGCTGCTGCTGCTGCTCCCGTCTCTCTCATGCCTCGCCTCGCGACTTGCAACTTCTCTAATCTACGATCACAGGCCCGATGTACCCGAGATCTTCCACGTGATTATCGGAATTCGTCGCGATCGCCCCTGCATGTAGTTGATGCACGAGATAAACGGCCTCATTATTATAAAACGCATCTTATGCATAAATTGAATAATCGAGTATATCATTCCCATGTGTGAAGCATATGAAATTCTTCGCAATTCATTTGATCGAGACAGTTTGCGCTTCTGACATGAATTAACATCCAGTATACGTATTAAAAGTGTAGAAAAGAATGTTTATTAAAGTTTATAATTGGTGCCCTATTGTGGAGCCTTGGTCAATACAAAGACGGTCTAAATTAATTCAAACATCATGTTCTATAGTACTGTGGACATGGTTTTTTTCAACGCACCCTACTATATGGATCACTTTTTGAGCTCATTTCATTAACTCATTCCCTAGTGGAGACAGTATTTGGACAGTATTCCGAAATGGGAACGTTTACCTTAGCATCAGTCGTGAAACAATCGATGAGAAAATTTGATATGGGGAAATTCGCCACCTGCACCCGCGTATCATGCTATACGCGCTCGTGGGAATGTATTTATAAACTTTCAAAGCCCTCCGAAACGGCTGCTAAAATCGGCTTTTAATTAGCTTCCATTTTCCGTCTCTCTCTCTCGACGCGAGCGGGGCTCTATTTTGACATGAGTATATAAATACAGAGGCACGTCGAAACACAGAAGCTGCGTCAGCCATACCGTATAGCTGTTATTGTTGAGCGGCAAGCGTCTTTCTCTCAGTCGCCGCGCAGTCGGTCCGCCAATTCGCCGACTGTCGTGGTATAACGCGCGAAAAGGCGCGACTCTTATAGTACTTTTGGCCTCGATTTACATTATGGCGAATTTTGCCCAGGCCGCTAATCAGAGCGTGCAGTCTCGAGCAGTCCCTCTGCCTTTGATTTTTCTTACGGGCCGAGAGTTGGAGAATCTCGGCCGCGCGATTTCTCCGCGTGACTCGGATCGACAGTACATTATTTAGCCCTTTTTTACTCTAGTTATGAGACGACAGGCGGCCGACGACGACGCGTACGCAGAGAAACTCGCTCGACGCCAACATTGATGAATAAGTTGGATCCGCAGTTGGTTTAGTTCTGCGATACATGCCGCAAGAGAAAGCGCTGCACATTTTGTATTTATTCGCGTACACGTGCAGTCGATTTGCCGCGTTTATACCTCGTATCGCGGCTCTCTCGTTTTCGTCGAATAGCCTCGCGTTGTGCAGTTGCCGCGCCGACACGAGCTGGCTCTCTGCCTTGCAAAAGGATCGCGCTTACTTTGGACGCTGCGATCGTCGCATCGCGCGTGGCTGAGAACGTCGGCAACTGCAGCAGTGATTCACCGATTCTCGGAGATTCGCGTTAGATCATAAGCGCCGTTTATAATGAGCTTTAACGAGCGCGCACTTATTCTTACGCAGACGCTACTTAATTTCTCATTGTTGTAGCGCGCGCGCGGCTAGGACACCGTAGCTCGCTCAAAGGAAGAAAAAAATACGCGAAACCTCGTTTTATTTTTTATTTTCAATTCTGCGCGTGTCACGACTCGTTATACGTATAGCTCCATCATCCATAGGCAATACGTCTTTGAGCTCGTAAATAGCTCGTTGAAACGTGCATATAATAACACACGTAATGTTAAAAGAGCTGCAAATAATTAAGGAAATGATATACGTCTCGCGGCCCGTACACAATCGGCCATTCCGCCGGTAATGCGGCTATTGATTCATAGCGTCGATGGGCACGACTCCTGCAGGCGATGGCTTTTAGACTAAATTGAAACGTTTTAATCATCGAGTGCGCTCGCTCGGCTCCGTGGCTTGGGAATTCCCGTCCATCGAGAGAAGAATCGACGAGAGCTACCGATCCATGCATAGCAAATTTCAATTTTACACGCAACAGTCGCTCTCGGCTAGTGGAAAAATAGAAAAATACCAAAGGTCACACGCTATACTTGTGACAAGTCATTGGATCGCTAAAGTCTTCAAGAGGCATACTTGTAGTATAATATAAACAGCCGAATACCGAATTGCTATACAAAAACATCTCGAAAAAATTGGCGCTGCGGCGATCGGTAGTATGACGATATATCATTCTTTGTGAACAATTTCGTAATTCTCTTTAGATGCGCAAACAGGACGAAATTGCTCGTCCACGCGTGCACACGAGCTACCAGAATAAAAATAAATAAGCATCTTCGCTGTGGGCATTGATTTCGAATGCGTGCACCTGCCGAGGAGGCTAAACTCACGTTTACACATCTTCTTCGATAATACCGTCGTCGGGTGGTTGTTGCGCTTTCGATCGCCAGCTATACATCAAACCTCGTGCCCGTGTGCGTGTGTGCAGTTGGCGTGCATATAAGGCCATGATATGTGCACGCACGTAGGTATTCCGTCGAGCGCTTCTCTCGCCGGCCGAATCAGGATTGTATAATACCGAAACGAAAACCGGTACCTGTAGCTTCGCTCGGTCTCGCGATAGCAGTCTTCTCGGTCGTCTTTTTATACCTTGTCTCGCGCTCGCTGCAGCTTTTTTCAGCGCAACCGAGTACTCCGCTGCCCTTTTGGCCAACAGATATACGTAAGTGGTGCGCTCGACAACGCAAAATTCCGGAAAAAGTCGACGCTTTGTCGAACGACGAGGTGTTTACGCTTGGCTAAGGCCGCACGCTTATTATGCCGCAGAGCCGCCTCGATAAGAAATTGTACCTTGAAGCGTTACGCTCTCTTATCTTTGGAGCCGGTGCGCGGAGCTGCAGCTCGGCGGCGGTGCACTCGCGCACGAGGAGCCTTGACTGATTTCACACGCCGCCACCGAGGAAAATAAAACAACCAATCGATCCCGATATAATTGTAACTTTCTACGAATGACGAACGGTTAAAGAGAGCAAAATTTTGCGCGCGCGCGCGTTTCTGCAAAAAAAAAAAAAGACAACGTCCAAAGCGTGATCGAACAGCCGAGAGATATACGGCGACGTGTATTGGTACTCTCTAAAAATTCCAGCGGGGGAAAAGTACGCCAATTAAGAGAGTGACTTTTACTCAATTACCGCGTGCTCGAGTACATGCGCCAGCGTGTAGACCCCCGTATATATACGTTATACATGTCGAGTCGCTGTACCGAGCTTTGCATTAGCTACCTACACTAAACCGCACATACGGCTGGCTCGACGAAAAACAGAGCAAAACTATTAAATGGATAGCGCGCATGAATGGGGCATTTTTGTCGGAAGGAAAACTCGGCGTGCGATCGATGAGCTTTAGCCGACTCAGCGATTTTCCCATTAATCACGACCTAGACCAATTTCTAGCACTGGAAATTCGGCTATTGTTAACGTATCCTCGTTATTGTCTCGAAGTCTGTAATAAAACTATTTTTCAATTTTTATTTTTTTCCAAGCCAACCGCACACACACGAGCTTTGTTAAATTTTCCTCTCTCTTTAATGCTCATTGATCAATCTCCATGTTATTATACAAGAGTATAAATTAAACGATTAAACTCGAGAGTATAGATTAAACGATTAGAGACAAAGAGTGCACTAGTTGCCTCGGCGTAATAACGTACGGGAGAAGTTGAAATCGGTAAAAATTTAATTCCCTCCTCCTTAACTTCTTAACTGTATCGCGACGATCGCAATAAAGCTCACAATGAAGGCGACATCGGAACCGAGAACGAATGAAAAAAATCACACCCTCGCACAATCGCTCGGCTGGATATGATTAAGCGATCCCAGCCGCGATCTGTCGCGTACCTTAATTAAATTTATCATTCGCGACATCTTCGCACGAGACAAAGCCATTTTATTAATACAACGATCGTGACGAATTGTAACTATGGGAAAGTTATGTTGCTGTTTTTTTCTCTGTAAGGCGCGTGAATTTTCTTTGCACGGCACACGCGCTCGATCGTGCGGATCATTTGTTCAAATGAGAACGAGAGAAATTATCATAACAATAAGCACCTCGTCGGCAACGCAGCGCAATACTCTTTCGCGCAATTGAATTAACGCTTGCGCTTGTCTCGACTCTCTGCAAGTGCATTACGTACATTATGCCACGCACGGACAATTTTCGATACGTTTTACTTTTTAAATGGCCGTTATCTCGATGGCAGGCGCGATGATTCAAACGCCGACTTAATCCTGCTTAACGTCGACAATTAGACTCATTGCTACGTATAATCTGCTTTGATCCATGCAAGCGCGCGAGTCTCGATGTTTACAAGCGTTTCAAAGATTGAATTTTTATCCCGTTGGCTTTATCGGTTGTAGAGCTTACGATCGTTAAAATCGGATCATCTCGGCATGCAAAAATACACGCGCAGTCGACGACACGCATAATCTCGCGCAAAATGACAAATTGCAAAAAAATATCGAGGTAAATCTTACCTGATCGTAGGTGGTATCACAGGCAGGAAAGACGCAGGGAGGCACTTGTATCACAGCGAAGCGTCGCCGTTGGTAAAGTAACGAAACAAAGGACTGGGATGTCCTGAAAGCACAGCGCGAGCGAGAAGCAGCGACAGCAGCAGCAACAGTTGCAGCAGCGACCAATCCGCGAAGAGGGAGCAAAAGCGACGCTCTGCCGAGAGCCGCGAGAAGACACAATCCAACGCGTGTGTAGATGTGTGTATGTACACAAACGTGCTCTACGTGTATGGGTATATGTTTGTTGTTTGTGTAGCAAACGAGCGAACGTTCGTGGCACGACTGAGCGCTATTACAGCCCCGACCGATCTCATATATAAACTTCTCTCTCTCTCTCTCTCTCTTTTGCTCGCTCGCTTGCTCGTTCACCCGTTCGCGTTTGCTCTTACGCCGAGCGAGCGCGCGCCCGAGTGCAGAGAGAGAACCGACGCTCCGCGTATTATGCCGCAGTGCACGGGTTCCGCTTCGATATATATGCTGCATATACATACGTACACCGCGAAGCAGAGCTCGACCCGTACGTGCCGTTCCTACGGTGAATCGTTCCAGGCTTCCGCTGCGATCGCCATCACCGCGAGCGAGATGATAAATTTCAAAGCGCCGATCGCTCGAGTTTGCTGGTAAGTATACGGCTCGCTCGATCATCCTGCCGCGAGCTGTTGTGCCGATTTTTCCGAAAAATCGAGAGATCCGAGCGTCGCGTCTAGCACCCGATAGCGAGTCGACGCTCGACAGCCGGAAGTCACTCTGCGAGTCGTAACCCGCGCCCAAGACGAGTCCGCGCCGATCGCACGAGATAGTCGCGCGCAAAGCGGCACATTCCATCGACGATGCTCGCGCCGACTTTTTTATTCCCTGGGATTACCCTTAGGCTAAATCGACTCGCGGGATGACTTACGTTTTCCTGGTCGGCGATTAATTTTAATATTTGCGCTCGGTTCGTAAAGCGTCGAGTATATACATAACGATCGCTGCAGCCTGACTCTATACGAGCCCGAGAGAGCCGCGTGTTTATTTTTCGGATCTCGTGGCCTACACCTGGTTAACTGCACTAGCTATATACATATATGCAACGTTTCGTTCGCGCAGCGAGCAGCGAATTTATCGAAATAACCCGCATGCAGTCGAGGCACGAGCCAAGCTTTCCTTATCCAAATCGTTTATATAGCACTACGAAAAATACGATATATAGCGACGACGCGCGGAGTAATTAATTCGAGCGAATACGTTGCTCTGTGTGGGTGAACAAGTACGTCAACGAACAAAACTACACAGAAGCAGAGCGCACATAAGTAATTATAGCTCTTAGTGTCTAGTTCCCCAACGCATGCCACGCTCATTATTATTTACATATGATTATTATAACCGCAGCGGTAGCAGCTCGAGGGAAAGAGTCAGTGTCTTTTTTGTTGCTGCTTCTGTTGTGGCTTTGTAGCAATTTTCCCGTTTTTGCCTCGTCTACGGGCTCGCATAGGCGCGTGTACCTAGGAAATACATGGCATATATGAACAAACAAACGTATGTGTATAATATAAGTGTATAAGCGCTTACGAGCGGGCCACGCATTATAAAGTGCGCGCGCGCGCGAGAGAAAAAGGTGTAGAAAAGGGGGATTATAATGGGTAATGGGTATTATGCTATATCGTATACACTGCACGCGTGTTATGCAGCGGAGAAAAAAGAAGCGGCAGCGAGCTATTATATGTAGCTGGGGCCGCGCGCGAACAGCGACTCCGAGTGCTTCTGTTGTTGCTTCTCCTCTTTTAAGGAAGAGATTTTACGCTCGGCTCGTGCGTGTTTGTCCGTGTCGTGTACGCGTACGGACCGTAAAAGCCGCGTGCACATATAGTAACTTCGATGGATATAGCCTTTAATAGATACTCGCGCAAGCTTTTGTCTCGTTCGTAACTCTGCGTCCGAATCTCAATCCACATCAGCGAGGACTCGAAATGCGCCACTCGGGCTTTCGTCGACTCGATCGAGCCAAAAAGTCGGCGAGTGCACGGCAGCGTGTGCGGCGCGCAGAGCTTGAGCGCCCCTGAGGGCAATTAATAACGTGCGTTCATGCGCGCTTTTTTCTCTGTATTAGCGCTTCGTTTGACTTTTCTTTGGAATTGTGCGTCGAGCATCGCAGCGCTACCACACACAAACACACACGTACGAATAACGTACAGAGTACAGACACGTGTACGCCTTTGACGTATGCATCGATGCGAAATAGCTGCAGATTCGCCGAAATCGTTGCAGAATTTTCGCACGAAGCTCAAAACTATATCGCCGTGTATTTACAAACGAAGATCGTATCTTATTTACAGCTAATTCCGTATAGTGAGAGTTGTTGCAAAATGGCTCAATATTAGAGCTTTTAATCTCGCGACTCGGGATTGTGACGAGTGCGCTAAACATAATGTGCGGGTATTTCAATTTAAATTGGCACGTCGATCGAGCCTCGCGTTGCGGCTGCAGCATACATATGCTACGTACGTGTGGCGCGTCGTATATGTGCAACGCATTCGTACTGTAATTACGTTATACCGCGAGTCCGGATATCATTACCAACTCTTGATACCTGATTCCTTTGTATTCCAAGAATTCACACGCATTGCCGATCAAGCCTGGCCAATGTTCGAGTTTATCTATATTACTTTTCATTTACCCATACATATTTGAATATGTATCGATAGCGATACGTGTGTTTACACAGCTCGCGCGGATTCCCTGCAACGATCGGAACAACAACAACAACAACAACAACAACAACGCGCAAAACTATACCGGCTCTCTCAGCGAGCTTCATTTCTCCGTTTCTTATACAGGCTCCGTGTAGCAGAGACCATTTACCATCTCCTTTTGCCGTCGAGAGAGACGCGACGATGCCCTTAACCCCGAGCAGCTCGACGCTGCCCGCTGCAGTGCAGTGCAGTTCGCTGCAGCTGCGGTAGCAACGAGCCATAAAAAGCTTGCCTCGACTCTCGCAGGGCTTCGGGGAACTGTACTACTGCCGGAGAGTCCAGTCTCGCTGCACACGTACATATATACCAAGCGGCTACGTGTAAATGTGGACGTATGCCCACGTATATACTGTAATCTGCTGGGAAGGATCCGCGAAAGCGAGAGACCCCCATCGCGCGCGAGTCCGAGTATGGGTAGGAGGTTTGCACGCGCGGACGTTTTTTCAAGCGATGTGCATCTTCCTCTTTTCCTCTCTTTCTCTTTCTCTCTCTCTTCGCCTCCTCTTTGCCTTCTTTTGCAGCTCTCTTGCAGCTCTTTTTCTTTATCCTCCGCTCGAGCGCGCGCGCACTTACTTATATATTTGCGCGCACAATGGCACACGGGGAGCCCGCTGTATACAGGCACTGCTCTGCACTGCTTGCACCAACGAGCCACGATACACAGACTTTGATAATACCGTTACGTAGCGTCGCTCGCGGAGATGCACCGCGTGGCACGATCCGAGGCAAGAATTCGCGCGCGAATCGACGCGCGGCTCCGACCTATTATATAGTTAACAACAACAACAGATGCCCTGCCTATCGATGCCCTCGCAGAGGCTCGCTTCTTTTTTCCACTACCCAGCGGAATAGCTCCAGTTAGTATTCGCGCTTTACAACGTCTTTCGACTGTTCGTTATCGTTCGTTTTTGTCTCGCTTAAAAATACCTATGCGCGAGCGACGTTTTTCCAATCGACACTTTTCACTGGGACTCGAAACAAAAGAATAACAAAGAGATGATCTTCTTGGCGAAGTAAAACTCAACTTGTGCATGCATCGATGTTTTTCCCAAAGCTTGACTGCTATAAACAGTCAGAAACGTGCTAATTTCCTCTTTACAATTCAATTTGTTTCGTTTTACGAGTTCGATAAATCAATATCTCAACATTCTTTTTTTCTCAAGTTTTTCGATTAAATTCTCACTCGATTCTTTCAATACAACTATTAACAATTACTAAAGTTCAGACTTATTAGAAAGAAGTATTGAGAACAGCAGAAATTCTGATGTGAGAAAATGGAAATAACAATTTTTAAAACTAGTAATAAACAATCTTTGATTTATTTTAAAACTATTGTTGCAAATTTTATTGTATAAATCGTAAAGCTGAATTACCAGCTCTTATAACGATCGGCCAAGGCGAGAGGCTTCTGTTTTGGTCGCAGGTAAAGTTACCGGCGGCCGGTAAAATTTGTTGCTCAACACAATTTTAGTTCCCTACGGTACCGAAGTAATGTTTTAGTTGATAAAATGCCCTTAAGGTTGTCATGTTGTGATGGTTTGTTAGTCTAATACACTTAATTGGTGAATATTAATACTCGGTATGAAAAGTTCTTGAAGGAGAGTCGATCATAATCACTAAAGGTTGTTAAATCTTTCTTGTATCTTCCTGCACAAACATGCCTTATTTAATAATCATTTATTGGATAAAGAAATCAGTGAAATTCGTTGAAAATTATTGCGCTCGAAAGATGGTCATTCGAGAAGAGCCACGGCACACGTGCACAGAGCCACCAGCTGGATATTTTGCAAGGTAGCTCGCACGGGCGACGCAAGTGCAAACACACGTAGCTCATAAGCCCGACGTCCGGCGCACAAAGTATATAACGTTTAAGGGCGCAATTGCTTTCGAGCTTGCGTCACACGAGCTTGCGCTACACGTGTAGCTTAGCTGCAAAATAGACAACGCTGCGCTGAGAAAACATCTATCCCGAGGCTAGCGCGGCACGTAGCGGCCGTTAATCCTAATCAGCCGCGGAGCCTCGGCGTATATACACTGCACACGCTCTATTGTCGTTCTATATACTGCTACATCTACTCTTGCGCGCTTATACGAACGTGTCTATGTGCTGTAGCCCAATTCAAACGTCATGAAAATTAATTACACGCCGAACGAGCTAGAGTCGGGCCCTCTTTCTCCTCCTCTGCTTCTGCATTTTCGCTCGACGTCGCGGTGGCTGTGCAGTCTAGATTTTACCTCTCTCGGCGACGCAGCTATAGCTCGCTCTTTTGCGGTTCCGCTCTCACCCACACGCCTATAGGCGCGGGCAGGCCCGCCTCATATATACCTGTATATTGCGCGTATAGCGCGTGCAAGCGCGCACTCCTGCACTTGGCGCGCGCTACGCTATAAGCTGCCGCGCGTATCGCGGCACGTGTTATTAAACTATCTTGCGCCCCCCCAACCCCGTGATATGCCGCAGGTGTGTGCGTGTATATTGTGTCTGCATGTATAGATATACATACCTAGATCCCTGTTTCAGCTCGCACGTCCCGCATCTATTGGCTTATAGCTCACTCTACCTTGCTTGACAT